CTCATAAATTGAGACAAAAGAGTCAAAAGAGCAGTTCAAACTTTGTTTGAAATGTCTTTGATGAACTTTAGCTTTTGATATTAGACTGAAGACCCTCCGCAAACATTTACTGTTGTTTAAAACTGTACTTCTAAATAAGGATGCTGACATTGAGGCACATTTGCAGGAATAAGATGTTCTATGCAGCAGATTAACTCTTCATTCACACCGAGCGCAGAACAGACGTGGTCCAGTTTTCCTACAGCTTCCCTGACTGCCGTTCACACCGATTGCGGCTCGTGAGCTGAACAGTTTGCTCCTTCAAGAACGACAAATTAGAAAAATATATTTAAAAGAATTATGTGACTTACACACACACACATACCATCATTAATGAAAAAAGAAAGCCAGCAAAAAATACATATACATATGTGTACATTAACACACACACACACACACACACACACACACACATATATATATATATATATATATATATATATATATATATATATATATATATATACATACATATATATATGTGTGTGTGTGTGTGTGTGTGTGTGTGAGTGTGTGAGTGTGTGTGTGTGTGTGTGTAATGAACAAAGAGTCCGTGGGTTATTTCCTCCACCGCTATCTTGGCCGCATGATGTATCTCATCATCTCTGGTAAATACAAAAAAGGAGCTTAGAACAAGGCTGTGATGGCAAGGGGCAGATGATTGACATCCATCAAACTCAAAGCCGATGTAGCCAACTGAGCTAACTGAAGCTAAAGAAATTTGGTAGGCGCTTTCGCCAGAAAAATGCATTTGAGCGACTCTGCTACTGCCTGCCTTCTAGGCTGCAAGATCAGGCTGAGGCCTTCCCTGGAGCAAGCAAGGGGACAAGCTGCAAGAGCTGACAGCTCATCGAACACCTGTCAAGGAAAAGGACACGCCCCTACTATTTTCAAACTACAATTATATCTAAACAAAGCAGGCTGCAAATATTTATTTCTGTTGAGAGGTTGGCTTCTTTAACTCATTCACTGCCATCGATGACTAAAATTGTCAATTGCGTTTTTTAATGGGGCAGGCTAGGGAAAGAGCTCCGGTACCTTGAGAGTAAACATCACAGCTCTGAAGCTGGTCTCCACCCATGTGTGTCACACGTCACGTGATCCGGAAGCAGAAAATCCATGAATTAGGAGATCGTTTTGGGACGCTTCTGTGAAAAAAGTGGGGAGCTTACCAGAAAAGCTTTTGCAGCTCACTCTTTCACAAAGGATTGTGAAAGATGGTGTGGCAGATTTAAATTCGAATGCAGTGCAAAGTTTTTACCTGAAGAGGGCACAAAACTGACAGTTTTAGATATTAATTTATTTTTTTTAACACCGTGTCCTGTCTGGCTGTGAAGCAAGCAGAATTGATGTCTGAATGCTGGTGACAAGCCTTACAGATTTACTCTCAGGTGGAGCATCAAAGCGTCTGCTTTTAATGTCACGCCTGATACTTAAAACTTTATTGTTATTGTTTTTGAATGCTTTGTAATTCCGACCAGACACGGAGACAGAGGTGAAAGAGAAATGAAAAGGTGGGGGGGGGGGGGGGGGGGGGGGGGTTCCACAAAAATAAACAATAATGAACAAGAGTCTGCTTCTAGACCTGCAGAAAAGGACAAAAAAAAAAAAGGGACACTACAACATTACAACAAGATCTAGCTATCACTGCGTCAACTTGATGAAGAAATACAGGTGCTGGCCAGTAAATTAGAATATCATCAAAAGGTTGAAAATATTTCAGTAATTCCATTCAAAACGTGAAACTTGTACATTATATTCATGCAATGCACACAGACCAATGTATTTCCGATGTTTATTACGTTTAATTTTGATATTTATAGGTGACAACCAATGAAAACATCAAATCTGGTATCTCAGAAAATTAGAATATTCTAAAGGCCAATGAAAAAATGTTTGTTTCTCTAATGTTGGCCAACTGAAAAGAATGAACATGAAAAGAATGTGCATGTATAGCACTCAATACTTAGTCGGGGCTCCTTTTGCCTCAATAACTGCAGTAATGCGGCGTGGCATGGACTCGATCAGTCTGTGGCACTGCTCAGGTGTTATGAGAGCCCAGGTTGCTCTGATAGTCGTCTTCAGCTCCTCTGCATTGTTGGGTCTAGCGTATTGCATCCTCCGCTTCACAATACCCCATAGATTTTCTATGGGGTTAAGGTCAGGCGAGTTTGCTGGCCAATCAAGGACAGGGATACCATGGTCCTTGAACCAGGTGCTGGTGGTTTTGGCACTGTGTGCAGGTGCCAAGTCCTGTTGAAAGGTGAAGTCTGCATCCCCATAAAGTTGGTCAGCAGCAGGAAGCATGAAGTGCTCTAAAACTTCCTGGTAGATGGCTGCATTGACCCTGGACCTCAGGAAACAGAGTGGGCCAACACCGGCAGATGACATGGCACCCCACACCATCACTGACGGTGGAAACTTTACACTGGACCTCATGCAACGTGGATTCTGTGCTTCTCCGCTCTTCCTCCAGACTCTGGGTCCTTGATTTCCAAAGGAAATGCAGAACTTGCTTTCATCAGAAAACATAACTTTGGACCACTCAGCATCAGTCCAGTCCTTTTTGTCCTTGGCCCAGGCGAGACGCTTCTTGCGCTGTTTCATGTTCAAGAGTGGCTTGACACACGGAATGCGACACCTGAATCCCATGTCTTTCATGAGTCTCCTCGTGGTGGTTCTTGAAGCGCTGACTCCAGCTGCAGTCCACTCTTTGTGGATCTCCCCCACATTTTTGAATGGGTTTGTCGTCACAATTCTCTGCAGGGTGCGGTTATCCCTAGAGCTTGTACACTTTTTTCTACCACATTTTTTCCGTCCCTTCGCCTGTCTGTTAATGTGCTTGGACACAGAGCTCTGCGAACAGCCAGCTTCTTTAGCAATCACCTTTTGTGTCTTGCCCTCCTTGTGCAAGGTGTCAATGATTGTCTTTTGGACAGCTGTTAAGTCAGAAGTCTTCCCCATGATTGTGGTGCCTTCAAAACAAGACTGAGGGACCTTTTAAAGGCCTTTGCAGGTGTTTTGAGTAAATCAGCTGATTAGAGTGGCAGCAGGTGTCTTCTATATTCAGCCTTTTCAGAATATTCTAATTTTTTGAGATACCAAATTTGGAGTTTTCATTAGTTGTCACTTATGAATATCAAATTTAAATGTAATGAACATTGGAAATACATTGGTCTGTGTGCATTGCATGAATATAATGTACAAGTTTCACGTTTTGAATGGAATTACTGAAATATTTTCAACCTTTTGATGATATTCTAATTTACTGGCCAGCACCTGTATATGATCAACATTGCTTAACTGAAGAATCACGATAATAAATCACAGTGCATTAAGTGCCCACCATAGTCTTAAGACCTGTGTTTAACGTGTCCAAGCCCATACTTTTGAGAGCACCATGTGAGCACCTGTGTGTACACGCGCTTGTTTATGTAAGGTTTCGCTATAGGAGCGTCCAACAGAGAGCGTGAGGGACCACAGATTCCCCCCCCCCCCCCCCCCCCCCCCCCCCCCCCCCCCCCCCACAAAAAACATGCGCAGGAGACGGGGGGAGCTCCAAGTCTCAGAGATCCAGGCGCTGCCCCAGAACACAGGAACCCCAAGGATACTGCAACCAGAAAGGCCTCCGCCCCCCTCGAGAGGCACAGAGGATCGCCCCAGGGGGCCACAACCAGCAGCCGGCAGAGTCCCGGGAGACATCAGCGGCAAGCCCACAGGCCCGCCCGCAGCCTCCCACCCCTAGCCGGCCGAGCCCGGGACCCAGCAACCCGGGATCCAGGGGCGACCACCCCCGCCGGGGACCCAGCAGAGCCCAAGGACCCAGACCCCACCAGGCAGCCACCGAGATCTATCAGGCAGATGCCAAAATCTTAAACCTCCAGACCCGGTTGCCACGAACACTCAGGCAGACCAAGGCACAACCCCTCACACCAGGTGTGGCAGGGGGAGGGGGGACGAAGATCTATATCATCAAAAAGAAGTTCCAGGAGAGGGGAGGAGTCAAAGGCCCCACCTGACATATACAGTCATACACAAACACAGTCACACACTCCCTCCCTCATGCTCACACATGCTCATACAACCCAAGACTTAAAAAAATGCACGCCGGACACTCACTCATGCTCCCCATACACACCCTATTAACTCTGGTCCCGGTACCGCTGCACACTGGGTACAACCATCACCGGTAACCAGAGTTTGACCCTTTCTGCTGGGGTGCTGATGAGCAGACTACCCCCGCCCAACGCTGAGCACAGCAACCCACCACCCCAGACCCCAACCAGACGGCCAGATCCCCCTCCTAGCCTCCAGCCCCAGGAAGCCAAGCAACAACAGAGGTGGCAAAGACCCCTAGACCCCAATATAGTGTTGTGTGATCATGAGGTGTATTCCATGGCTGTGGTGAGCGGGCAGTGCGGGCATCATCCAGCATATGCCAGCTGATGCCACCGCACCACCCCACTTACACCCTCAGCCATCAGTGTCTAAGTGCGGTTTAAAATTGGAAGTGGGCACCGGCACTTGGGAGGAGGCTGAAATATCCCCCTGCCAAATGCCGTTGAATGTGCTCACTCCCAAGGCCCTAAGTGTGTGTTTGTGTGGAATGCCATCAGTGGAAGTGTATAAGGTGCAAATAAAATTGGGGGGCAGGTTGCCACAGGAATGCGGAAATGGGGTCCATACCCGCACTCCCTGACTAGATATTAAAATTTTAACTAAGATGCACTAAAGTGCCAAATTATTGACTACATGTGTCTACAGCACGATCAGACACTCATTTATGTAGTTTATCAGCAAAGAAAAGTTGATTTGGGGATGACTTGCTCTTTAAGAGAGGCATTACTGCAACACCAGAAATCTGAGACTGATCAGAGGGAATCATAATGGTTCATTGCCAGATGTTAAAAATAAAAAGTTACAAATTTTAATTTAAGGAAAAAATCTGTAATGAGTCCATCTGTGTTTCATTGGGCAGTTTATTGAACTTGCAAATGGAGTCATTATGCATGACTTTAATTTTTCTACAGTCACAAAACAATAAAAGTCTGAACATTTATAATCATTTGCTGCTTCAACATTACATTCAAAGCTGTAAATTGTTATAGCTACATTTTGTTAAAAACACAATATTTACAGTAATTGTAATACACAATTTCATTTTTTTATATTTGGCATACTTACATCAATCTGCTCATAATTTACATATTCTCAAGTACTGATTAATGTGAATAATTAATCTCAAAATTTTCACAACAAAAAAAATTATAAACATACAAACAATACTAAAAGCTACCCACTACCCGCTCCCCCCCCCCACCCCCATCACAGGGAAAAAAATCAGTTAATTGTTGAGTATTTTTAATTTCCTCTATTTTACAAAATGGTGTAAAATGTGCATACCATAGAACAATTATGACACGGCTGAACTGAGCAACTATTCATCGTGCAGTCAGCTCACATCCACGGTTTTAATCAAACAGAAAGCAAATGTCATCTGTACAAATATTTGACTAGAATTTGTTTGTGGATGTTTCTCCTGCAGAATATCAAGTCATCAGACGGTTTAAGGTCACTGATGATTGGAAAAGTCATGTTCCAATTCTTGCTTTGTGACAAACTAAGTTTCTAATAACAGTACTGGTCATGCTGGAGATGGTAAACTCTTCATTTGTGCTTGTCTAGAATTAAAACTGGCCAGCAGAGTTGACACTAATTTGGATTTTGGTGTAAAAAAAAAAAGTCTTTTCAAGTGAGCAATTCCAAGCTTTTTGATTTCAGGCCCGAGTTTAAAATTAAGAAGAAGCAAAAAAAGAAATTATTGTTCCTTTGGCACAATAATTGCTAACCTCCCCACAAAACATATCTTGTCACGTACATGTCATGCAGGAGGAGTTGGGTGTGTTCACATAATAGCCTTAAGTTTGATCCGTTATTAGTCCAAGTTTAAAACCACCCCAGCCTGCTAATTTACTGAATGTTTTTAAAAACAGCCTCTAATTTACCTCCATTGTGCAAAAAACAACTATTTTGTTGAATATTGCTGCAGAAAAAAGACCAAACATGGCCCTAGCTTGTCAGAATTGTTACATCAGGCACAAAAACAGGTAATGAAGCAATTTTATTAAAAATTTTATATAAATAATTATTCTAATTTTTTGCACCCTTGAGGAAAACAACTATGAGAACACACCCCTGTCTTCTACTCGTCACTGAAATGCATACTCGAGGCCTCTAGCACCTTTTAAGCTATAAAGTATACAAATATACTGTTATAAAAAAAAAACTAAAAAACGTGCAAGACTCAGATAAAAGACTCTGTTTTCAATACTTAAGGCAAAAACAATTGTCATATATACCAATATACATATATCTGAGATTATTATTTCTATCAAAATTGTGTTTTATTTGTCTAGAAGGTTCTGGTAAACACGTGTTATGGTGACTTGCACATACTAGAGATAAAAAGTGCAGAAAGACCACATCAAAGTCATTGCAATGCCTCTAGTGACTAGGAAAGGGAACTTTCTTCCTCTGGTAGTTTGTTTCTGATCACCTGTTGACCTCTAGGTGTTTTCCACTGCAGTGTTGGAATGCCAAACTGAAGATCACAAATAAAAGTGGGTATAAAAGTGCAAAATACGCCAGTGTGTGTTTATTTCACCTTCACCCTGAAACGGCACCTATAGCTGGGACACCTTCCTGGGCAGAGGCCTCGGTCTGGGAACTCGAGGGTCGGCGGTTCCGTCCAGCTTCATGCTGCCTGTGCGGAGCTGGTGAGGTTTGGGTGGCAGGGCTGGCGGGTCCGTTTGAGGGGGGATGGAGAGACTATGTGGCAGCGGCACAGGTCTGCGGGGGTTGTTTCTTTCGTAGACACTGTAGGGAGGTGGGGTCTTGTTCTCCCTGCGGATCGGCTCATCCGAGCTGCTGGAGACAGAGTTTGGTAAGGTGGTAGGTGGGGGTAGTGGGTGCGGTGTGTGGTCTCCAATGGGCAGCTCAGTGCCTGAAGCCTCTGACACACTGCAGCGACTGAGGGAGGAGATGCCACTGCTATAGCTGCCAGACAGAGCGGGGGAGTTGGAGACCAGGCTGGCCGACTGGCACTCAGTTGGCGACGGGGTGAAAGGTGGTACTGCAGTCTGTGGAGAGACAAAACATAACAGGAGTTATGTTTCCTTTTATCTATAGTGCATTTTTCCAGATGACATGTTAAATATATGTTTGGATCAGGAACTTCCCTGTATCAAAGACAAAGTAACCCGTCTGCTACCCACCCCTGGTTTATTTTGCACAAGATTAAAATCTTGACATTTAATACAGTAAATAACTTCAACTCCCAAAGACAACCTTCTCCCAAGTTTCATTTCTGCCTCCAGGGATGAGTAAGTGCAGCTCTGTCAGAGTGCCTACATGTATTTTCTGCAGGTTCTTTGTTGCCCTGGGGTTTGCAGGCTGGTAATGGGCCCCTGGTTGCACAAACTGGTGTGTGTGTGTGTGTGTGTGTGTGTGTGTGTGTGTGTGTGTGTGTGTGTGTGTGTGTGTGTGTGTGTGTGTGTGTGTGTGTGTGTGTGTGTGTGTGTGTGTGTGTGTGTGTGTGTGTATGTTCATGCACCAGATAATGGGACCCCACTGGAGATCCACAGAGGATTCCATCGTTTGCTGTGCAGTGATGGGCAGCTTGGTGCTTCGCTCCAGGCCTCATCTTTTTCCACAACAACACACACACACACACACACGCATGCATGTGCACACACACACACACACACACACAAATGTGACAACATGCACACACTCCATCACACACAAATCTGACTGACAGAGCATGCTGTGTGCCAAGCTGTCACTCACACTTTGGTATCTCCTTTCCCATTTTACAAGCAGACCACACACACTGTCACACACACACACACACACGCACAACCTGGTAGCTGTCACACACGAGGAGACATCACACCTGCAGCAAAGCTGGAAGCTTAGCACTGTTTATTTGCAAAATACCCACAAAGATCAAGCAGAAGAGGAGCCTAGATAAGGTTTTCCTCTCATTAAGAGCTCTCTTGGAGCTTACTTAACCTTTCCTAAACCTCTTCTGCTGGCTGGTATTAACTAATAAGAGGCTCATTAACGATAAATCAGAGCTTGGAGTCAAACTGAGAATAATCAGTTTATTTGTAGATGAGAGAATGAAACATAAATAAAAAAATACCCTATGAGGTCAGAGATATTAAACACCCGTTTGAACAGCTTGGTTGATGGAAACTGAAGTCAATGTTCAGAGCGGCATTTATCAAAGAGAGAAGAAAAACAAACAGTTTTTGTAGATGATATTTACAGAAAAAATACCAGCAAAGAAGCTCAAGGTCCTCTGGTATATTAGATTCTCAGTTATCAGGTGACAACCTCCTAGAGGCTAGAGTATATTTAGCTAAAACAACGAATGCCCTGCAGCCAGTCCCGTTTTCTGGAGGCCCTTCTGGGACCACTGACATGACAAGTACTAAATCAGCAACAGTGGAGCTGTTAGCAGCTTCAGTGAGCATTAACGCAAAGCCTCTCCTGACTCAAAGTAGGATAATAACCTCCGATTCGGTGAGTCGTTGGGGAAGAATATAGGAACGAAAGGAAAAATAAAAACCAACAGAAGAGACCTTTTGAGGAGATCTGGATGTGGGGCCAGGGGATTGGGACCTCATGTTCTTAGCCGAGGAGCCTGGTGACAGAGAAAGGAAGAGAACATTTGAAATTAGAAGAGGTTTCCTTTCTGCTCATTGGGATGATAGCATGAGTCATGCCAACATAAAACACACAAAGCAAACAGGGCTGGAGGCGTAGAGCTTGAGTCAGTCAAATGATGCTCTGCAGGTCCTCTTGGCTGCTTTAAGGAGTTTCTACATCCAACAGCTGCAAATGTATGATGCAATAAATAAATATTCCATCTGCTGATGATGCTAGTGGACATTGCACTTCATTTGAAAACACTAGGGAATGAGTTAAGTCTGTTGCATGTGTAAATAATTAAAATACAAACTGAAACACTTTGGTGAGGAAAGCTTGAGGAAAGCCAGTGACGTGTGATTCTAAAGAGGATCGAAAGGAAAAGAACTAAAACATTTTTTAATCTGAAGCCAGATTCACAGCAAGAAAACTGTCAAACACACCAATGTTTTCTCAGTAGATATTTTGCTAATGAGGCTACTGACATGAAATTCATACAAGACATCAGACTATTGGTCTGAATGAAATGTGTAATGCAGCAGAGTAACACAGGGGAATAAACATTGAAACACACCAGGATGTAATACGTAGGAAGGTATTTGTTGGCGATGATGGCTTTAAACTCAAACCCTGTTGAACTTTATAAAGTCTATTCTTTGTTTTTTTTTTTTAAATTGGTTTCCAATTAGGTTCAAGTTGGGTGACTGGGACAGTTTCTGCAACAACCCAAGTTCTATTGGTTGTTTAGGGTTAACATTTCCTTTGGGAACTCCAGTGATGTGTGGTGAAACAAAGCGTAGAGCCATTGAAAGAAGTTGCCCGAGTCCAACTTTAGGGGAAGCATATTTGTAATGACCCAGACTACCTGGCAGTAGGCTGGGTCATTCGCCGACCACCTAGACTGGAAGTGAGTGGCTGTGAATTTGAACAGCCAAGCGATTTTATTGTTTCCTACCCTTCCTTCAGAATTTGTCATTATACTCACATTTAAAACAGCATTGCTCTCCTGATTCCTCCGCCGTTATTAAAAGAACAAAAGTCTCCCGTTCAAACCACACTGAATCTTGGGATGGGGTAGGCCAGTAAGGATACACCAGACCTGTCCTTGAAATTTGGGGACAATGAGGATGCATTTGTGGGCTGCTTTCTGAAGAGTCTCACCACTCACCATGGCAGAACTCCTTCAGACTCGTGTTATTCGAGGCGATAAAACATCAATGCTGCAAAGTGAACGGAGGCCAATCAGAGTTGAGATGGGGCTAAGGTCTCCCAGCTGCCCCTAGGGGTCAGGGCACACTCTACTAGAGGTGTGGCTGCTTCTTGGACACTGTTTAAAGGTGTTTCAGTTGATGACATCTGCTCAGCTGCAAGCTGGGCTACACCCCACATCTTTGAGAGGTTTTACCGCTTGGATGTTTTGGCCCCTTCAGTGGCCCATGCAGTTCTCTCTGCTGGATCTGACTTGCCATCTTAGGTTGCAATCTCAGGCCAGGTTTGATAGCTGCTCATGGGGCGTTTCGATAAGTCCCATAGTACCTTTGTTGTACCAAGTGAATCAACTGAAAGGGAATGTTAGGTTATGCATATAACCACTGTTCCCTGAAGGAGAGGAACAAGGTACAACGCAGGGCTGCCCCAGTTCACAGCCCAGCTCGGTGAAGAGCGGCTATCGAACTGAGGACTGACAGTAATGCGGTTGCTTATAAGTGGAGGGCGGGGCCTCCACGCCGCATCACTTTCATTTGCCTTACAGGCGTGATTAAATGTCTCTTGAGCCAGGCCACACAAGGGCGTGATATCCCATAGTACATTCTTTATATCTCGTTCCTCTCCTTCGGGGAACAGCGGTAATATGCATAACCTAACGTTTCTTGGATTTTAGTGCTTTTGTGCATCCAGTTTTTGTCACGTTCAGTGTTCATTTCCTATGTAACTCACTGAATTGCACATAACAGTTTTGAACATTTGGATGTTTTGTGTAGATTACTTGGATTGTTATCAACATCTGGTGAGCACTTCATACCAATAACCCCATTAGGGGGATATTCATGGAGAAAAACACTGGTGTGTTTGACACTTTTTATGCAATGTACAGACCTCAGAATTACCATTCAAGCCTGTTAGTATATAAAAAGCTGAAGGTGAAGAAGACGTTTCAATAGGAAGAGCTGGTCAGGAAAAGGTACCTTAAAGTACCATTCTTCAAGGGATGATTTAGCCTGTTTACCTGAGTATGGTGGCCTGGGAGGAACAGGAGGGCAAACCAATCTGCCCACAGAGTCAGAGAAGGATGCTGAACCCTCTTTGACACTGTCTAGGCTCCAGCTACTGGGAGTGGGTCTCACTTCACAGCACACAAAAAAACACCACAAGTCACAAAATGCTAAGGACAACATGCAAAAATAAAAAGATGTGCACATCCTAACTGGATAAGATGGTAGAAAACATGAGCATGATATAAACAGCAGCAACATTGGTTTGGCAATAATTAAAGTGTGGAAAAAGGGGAAAAAGTTTGTCATTAAGTAGTTTAAAACCTTCCGTCTGCTTCAAGTGATGGGATTCAGTACAAACTGTTCCTGCTCGTCTTGGATTATGGGTTATTACACATGACATATTTATTCCTTTTCTTTGAAGTGGGCGCAGCTGGGTGGAAATAACGCAACGCCACATTCCTCAATAACAAACACTGATGACATTTGTCGGCTTATTTGCTCACTGTCAATCACAGTGGATCAGAATGCATTCAAAAATACTCTTTTTAGGAAAAAGATCTAGGCTGCTTAAGTAACTGATTATTTTATAGACACACTATTGATACAAGATTTTGAAGTTTTACTCCATTTTAAAGCCAGGTCACAAGCAGCTTTAATTTTATGTGGGCGATGGTGGCATAGGAGTTAAGTCCGTAATCAGAAGGCTGCAGGTTCGAGTCCCGCTCAGTCTCTCGCTGTCGTTGTGTCCTTGGGCAAGACACCCACCTTGCATGCTGGAGGTGTTCGGAGGGGCCGGTGGTGTCTGTGTACGACAGTCTCTCCTCTGTCAGTGTGACCCAGGGCAGCTGTGGCTACAATGTAGCTCATTACCACCAGTGTGTGAATGTGTGTGTGAATGAGTGAATAACTGAATGCGTTGTAAAGTGCCTTGGGGGGTTCCAGGACTCTAGAAGACGCTATATCAAATAAAGGCCATTATGTACACAATCTCTGGGTTACATGATCGGGTCCCACTACAACACTAAGTCACTGATTGTGAAACAATGGATTCCAGAGAAATTCATTGACAGGTCAGCTGATTTATTTGGCCAATCTGTCCAAAACTAAGAAAATAACTTGTCAGCATGAACCATGACCAATTAAAACCATGCACATAGATAAAACTGTGTTCAACTTCACAACATGCATCTGTGAGCTTGTTTTAGCATGAGTCTGTGGGTTCATTCATGGGTTTATTTAAAGGCACACTTGGTAGTTTTGCTTGCTTTTAGCACCCCCTAGTGTCAGTTATTAATCATCTGGGATTAAACCAAAAATATCTCCACCTCATCTCCACCGTAATCTAATTGCAGAAATGTCTCAGCCTTCTTTAGTGTCTACAGGAGTGATTCATCACTAAATGAAACAAATCAGCTGTGTTCATGATCTAAAACATGCTGGAAATGTGCTGAAAGCAGACAGCACAGCCCGGTTTGTCAGCAAAGGTCCAACAGGTGGTGGCCTGCCAACATTCTGGCTACAGAAGGCAGTGGGGGTCTAAGTGACTTCTCATTAACCCTGTAAAGGGCTCAAGAAAAACAAGAAAATAAATAAGTTTCTTAGTATGCCTTTAAGCATTTTCTAAACCAAATACAACCAAATTGAATCGGCACAGCAAGGTAAAGGAACTACCTGCAAAAATACGATCTGAAGTGTATTTTTCAGTCATGCAAAAGCCCCGGTATTTAACCTGGAATGCATGGGCTCAAACATCATGCTGCAGCCTGCCTCTAGGGGGCATATTAGTTCAACATAGCTTCGACTTCTTTGTTACTGATCTAATTCATGCCCTACAATCTGAACTGCCTCATACACAGGACATTGAAGCAGAATAAAATAAGCGCTCTCCTAAAGGCTGCTCCCAAAATCACTTAACCCCCCCCCCCCCATGAAAATGGATGGATGGATGGACCATTAAGGAAATTTATGTAGAAATCTATTCAATTCATACAGCAATACAAAGGTTTTTGTATTGCCTTTAACAAACCACAGTCAAAATTAACTTCTTTTTTTTTACCTAAAAATGTAATTTTTTGATTACTTTCTTTGATATTTACTCTTTCCTGACATTTCAGGGCTTATTTGCAATACTTAGTTATAGATTTTAAATCTGAGATATTTGAAGGGTGTTTATGAGGAATTTCTAGCTGTTTTTGTGTCATTTGCACATATATGGTTCACTTTTAATCAAACACTCAGCTTCTTGTTATGCAGCTAATTTAGTTATACCAATTTCTGCAACAAAACAAGAATAAGCAATAAAAACTAGGAAGTCTTGTTTGTTTAGTATTTAAATAGCTGTAGGAGCATAATTACTCACTCAGCAATGGAACAGCCTCAAGCATATTGCTACATTATGTTTTATGGTGGTATTTTTATCCAAACAACACCATTTCAACTAATAATACAAAATAAGCAACATATACAATAGCGGGTTTTGTGTTAATTCTAGCACCTTTCATCACTGTCATGTCAGCATATTGTGGCAGTTTAATGCACCCACTGCTGTATTTTCAGACCACACTCGACTCACATGGAAAGGTGCGTGTTTGTGCGTGAGTCACACGGAAGCAATCACATCCCTCTTTGTTTCAAGGCGTCTCTTCTTGCCACCCAGAGTAATTATTCCAACACCGTGAAGAAAGCATGTGACTGCTACTGGTTGTTTGTTTCTCCACAAGAATGTGCAAAAATGATCAACGTGGGATGTTTGACACTTGGTGGAAGTGGTAAAAGTGGAGGAATCTTTTGTGTTTTGGCTCAAATTCAGACTTTTTTTTTTAATATTTAGATAAAAAGACACTGAGATTAAGTGGTGGGAGGTTAACTTGAGTTTTCTTACAGATTTAAAATACATATTTCATCACTTGTGTCACATAGATAACATATTCCAGAGAGAAATACAACTTTTAGACTGTAGCCCAAACATGTCAATCTCTAGACATGTGGGCCAAATGTAGCTTTTGTAAGTTGTTAAGTCACTTGTAATGACGTAATCTACAGTACATAGATATGAAATCACATCACTGTAACAGTCTTTTACATTGAAAATTACCGGGGGGGGGGGGGGGGGGGGGTACACTGAAACTGTATGTGATTTCCTGTCTAGACCTATGTTAACACTGGATATTGTCATGTCCCAGAAGCCTGACAATGTCTGCATCACGGCTGGTGTGAATCACCCAATACACTAAAATGGATTCTAAATTGAAACAGTGATGTTCTGCCACTGTTCCGCACCGCTGATGCTTCCAGTATGCAGTAGCGTTTAGAGATGGATTCAAGCAGTGTTGTGCCTGAACACGTTCAATGTATGATCGTTCGTGAATTTGTACAGTTTTTTTCATGAACTGAACTCATTCGTATTTTGCCTGATGAACGTAAAAGTGAGTACGTTCATCCTGGCGTGCGTGAACGGGTTTATGAACGCGTTCTTTCGCCGTTCTAGCTCCAGATCTCCACGGAGCTTTGCCGGAGCTAAAGCCTAGCTAAAACATCCTGTTAACCATTGAGTTTATAAAACGTAGAACCCGCAAATGCGGCCAAACATAGGCAGCAGCGGTTGGTGCGGCATCTACTCTTCTACGTCTATGCTGTTTGCAAGAGTCAAGGTTCATTGAGAAAAATTGAAACAGGACTTCACTGAAAGGTTATACATTTTTTAATGTTTTGCACTTTTAATACTACAATTTGAGTTTGCTACCTCAGCCTGCTTCCTAAGATTGTTTAATACTTTCCCATTTAAAAAATTTTCAAATAATGTTTTCCTCATGTTATGGAGAATATACTGTAGGGTTAAAACTGCAGCTGGGTATGAGTGTGGACTGAACGGGTGCCAACTATAGGAAAATTATTTCATAAGATAGATATAGGAGAAAAAAACTATGAACTAGTTTGTATTTGGAACACTGAACTTAGCTAAAAAAAATTATTATGAACTAAGAAACGAACTAGTTTGTTTTAAAATGTATGAACTGAACTTTGAACTAGTTTGTTTTTTAAACGAACGTTCCCAACACTGGATTCAGGCAGCTGTTTACTCACACTGATGGGAAACAATTTCATTTGACTAAAATTTTCTGCAGTCCATGTGTACATATACTGTACATGTATGTACCAGTATGTATGTATGTATATATAAGTCAGTTTCTAGTATTTCTAGACACTGCGTACTGTATGCATAAGAAAGCTATACCAAAAAAGTGCATGTACCTTTATCTGGTGCTGATAGGTTGGGGTCGCTCCGTGGTAGAGTGGTATCACCTATCTGATTCGGAGGAGCTCTCTGCAGAAAGAAATGACCCAAATTATTGTTAAATACACAAAGCAAGTCGACGTCTGAGATATATGCAAGTGCTGATGTGAAATATTCTGAGAATGTATAGAAAGTGGACAAAGCCTTCAACAATGGCCACAATTTTACTAACATTGTGCCATTAAAAGGCCAGCAGCATTGGATGAAAGCATTTCTTACAAGTATAATGCTTGCTACTTTCTTTCTTTTTTCATGAGTCAGTGTACATTTGCTGAATGCTGAACACATCCCCAATAAAAAACAAGTGTGTTAAGCATTGATAAAAGACAAAGCTTGTTTTCTGGATCCTAAATAATGAAGTAATAATGAAGAATGAATAGAATAATTGGAGATGAAATAAAAGCTAAATTGACAAATACAGGCTACCCAATATATCAGGAGTGTGAGTTATAACAGTTTGTTCAAAATTCAATGGAGTTGAAATTGAAAGATGTACCTTGCAATGTAGAATAGGCGTGAGTGATACGGCAAACGTATCATGAATATCACTTTAGCTAATTCCTGAACAATACAACTAAAAAGTTACATTTCTGAAGAAATTTTAATACGTTTCTGCAATTTCGCAAGGACTGTTGTTGCATATACAGCACTGGTTGAGGTCACCGTTATCATTAACTCATTAACTGCCATTGACGAGAAAAGTCGTCATTTAAAATCCAACCGTTCACTGCCATTGACGACTAAAGTCGTCATTTGCATTTTTTTACTGTGTGGGGGTCGGAGCGAGCCCCCGCACCGTGTGAACAAACATCCCAGCTCTAAAGCCGATCTTCATCTGCGTACGTCACATGTCACATGACCGGGAAGCAGAAAATCCATGTGTTAGGAGATCTTTTTTGGGCAGCTGCTGTAAAAAAGGTGCGACGTGAACCAGAAAAGCTTCTGCCGATCACAATGCAACAATGGATTATGAAAGAAGGGATAAAGTTCCTGATGTAAGAGGTGAGTCTACTCTTTGTTTAGGTAGTTTTGGCATCGACATCATCTTAGCGTGCAACGTTCTGTGAGTCTTTAAAAAAAACAGTAAAAATGGTGAAAACTGCTGGCAGCGAAGGGCTTTACCAATCAGGAAATGGCTGGCAGTGAATGAGTTAACAGCAACATAACATTTAAACAATGCCGCTTTAGTTACAATGACAGCAAAGTACACTGGTTTGAAATAAACACAAGAGACATACTATTTGATTATGATAACAGTCGCTGGTAAGGCTAATGTAGCGCCATACCTGCAAGTTAACAAACATGGTTCTGGCTTACAGTAGCATGACGACAGAAGAAAGATAGGCGTGGTCATCAAGTAAACACATCTTTGGGAGAGCGTATTTTAGCACAAATTAGTGTGGAAGTGATCAGGTGAAAGCCGTTTTCATAAGAAACACCATACTGGCAAATTACAGGAATACTGCCACCATGGCACTTTCATGTAAGACACAGGGGCGGCATGGTGATGCATGAATTTGCTGCACTTGTGCTACCAAGCTTGGTAGTAACAACCCAACAATGCCATACTTGGGTGAAGATTACACCTTGGGGCAATGTGGGGTGATGTCATGATCACATGTAGAACTACTACAAGCTAAAAGGAAGTCTGTGACAGTGCAGAAACCGCTCCCACACCCTCTTTATACCACCATTGCATAATCTTTTCTGAAATGCACATGAACGCAACACATTACCGCCACAGTCTGACCACTAATGAACAACCAAAGGCTCCCTAATGCCACCTCAGCTTTGCGGCCAATTAGTGTCATTGTTTTATGAAAGAGGTTTTAGACCAGGGGTATTCAATTCACACTGAGATGAAGAGCAGCACCTCCAAATGATGGGGGCTATAGTTCTCTATTGGAAAAGGGTGGATTGCCTACCTCCGGTTGGGGGAAAGGTCCTGCCTCAAGGGGAGTACTAAAAATATGTCAGGGTCTTGTTCATGAGTGGGGGAGGGGTGGGGCGGGATATCAACAGGCAGATCGGGACAATGTCTTCAGTGATGCGAGGCTCTTGAGATGAAGAGTTGCTAGCATTCCATGCCTCATATGTGGCCATGAGCTTTGTTTGGATAATGACCAAAAGTGGGCTCTACTCTGTCTGTCCTTGCAAGCCTGCTGGACAGCCCTTGCAACAATGGATAAAGGCGTTGCACGTCTCTTTACTGATGCAGACGGAGAAGAAGAAGAAACAATCTTTTATATAGGAGAATTATAAACTAGAGCTTAGAGGTAAGAGGCCACCTCCTGGGAAGGTTGTTTTGGGCATGACCTGTCAGAAGAACACCCTGGGGCAAATCCAGGACATGCTGGAGTGATTATATCCCTAGGTTGGCTCGGGGACACCTTGAAATCCGACCAAAGTGGGTGGGGGATATGGGTGAAGAAAGGACAGTATGGTGTTCTTTGCTAGGCCTGCTGCTCTCACAGTCTGGACTCAGAGAAGTAGAAGACAGGTCTAAATGAGATGAGACTACAATCTTTCTGCATTGAAAGACCACCAACACATTGGAATCCTCTGCAATTGAATAATCTTCTGCTGCCCACACAAAAAGGCTTCGTCTTATAATTAGAGCAAAAAGTGAAAATAATGTGAGTTATTGAGCCAGTTCCTAACCCTCATGTGAAACCTTTCCTTAAAAAATTCAGAAAGAGACACAAACCACAAAGTCAAAGTCTTCATTGTTATGACCTGTGTATTTCTACTCTGATTGCATTAAGTGATACAAGCAATCAGCGTTCCATTTAGCCAACAAATAAAGGTGTCTCATAGTCAGTGGGCTCTCTCCAATCACTGCCGTTTATAGAAATCTTCACAAACAGAGTCAGAAAACCAGGTGAACTCTGCTACAAGCAGCGGCTGCTAGAAATAAACGGCCTTGTAAAGCAAACACATTATCTCTCTCTAAAGCTTCACCACCGCCAACCGAGTGTGTGATTGTATTACGTACTGTCCTTCGGCCATAAAAGGCATTGCAATATCAAGATGTTCTTGTCACCTCTTGTTATTAAGGTAACACAAGCTTGCTGTACAAGAATGCTTTTTTCAAAGTGAAACGAGGCAGAGCTATGCTTTAATAAAAACAGAAGTTAACATCCACCTCTGTTGGAAAACTGCTCTTCTCAGCGACAAAAGCCCTCACACAATGTGCCCGGTTTAGTCTTGCACACATTGAGATGTATGGTGCAGAAGAAAGGTGACCTTGTTTTCTGCCCCAGTATGCACCTTGTTGGTGGCCTCAGTTTGTAGAAATTTGAGTTTCCCCCTCTAGGCAGAGCGAAACACAGAGATGGACAAATCTAGGATCGCTTATTTGAATTCATGCCACGGTCTCACAACAACAAACCTGGATAACAAGTAGAGCTTAACAAAGCTAACACAACATCTGTAGAGGACAAGAAAGTGCTCCTCTGATTCTTGCTGAAATCCAACATAAGCTTTACAGAAATTTTACTCCACGTTTTGTGTCTGCATGATCTTTTGATGTTGACTTTCATCTCTTTTGATTTGATTGTTGAAGTCACCTAAAACAACCGTGGGTCCATTTTGGATTAATTTTTGTAAAAAGCCCAACCACTTTTTTGGTTTAACTTTGCAAACCTGTAAGTATTGGCTGGAATTTCTTTAAACACTATTGTGTTTGTGTGTGTATTTATTTTCTTCAAATTCAGGTACATCATTCATTTATCTCCCCCCCCCCCCCCCCCCCAAAAAGATACAGCTTCAAAAGTCAACCATAGGCTGCCTTGAATAATATAAATGAATTGATATTAGCCACTGACCTCAACATCCTATGTCAACAAAAAAGGATTTATGTAATGCTTCTTAATTATTGGAACATAGTTTGTCAATTTCTAAAAACTAACATTGGTATTGGGCATTGATAAACCATTACTGGTTGAACAACCATTTCTTTTACCAAAAATAAATACAAAAAGTTTATATCTACTTTGTTCGTGATCAGTTTGCCCTCATTTCTGAAACTTGGCACTGGTATTGGCCAAACCATAACAATTCAAACTCAACTATTTATTTTACCAAAGTAGTTTTTTTTTCTTCAAAAATCGGCCATCAGCTGCCAGTTTTGATAGAAACCTTTATCAGTCAACCTCTATTTGTGACCCACTAACTACTACAGTGTGATAGACTATTAACTGGGCAGCTAAGATTATTATATATAAATTTATTATATTATATTTTAATAAACTGAAATTCAAAAAAATACACAAACAATAAAAACTCTAACTAAAATATTACAAGAAGTTTGTCACAAATTACCACTCTGTTCTAAAAGCCATCAACTTAGTTGAAGCTTGCTTGTAGAATTACTTTTTAAGTAACTGAAAAACTTCTCTCATTTACCAATTAAAAAACTTCCAAATGCTACTAACTGAAGCACTAGCCTAAGGTGAAGGCAACACTAAAATGGGAAGGGTTAAAAAAAGGTGTGTGTGTGTGTGTGTGTGTGTGTGTGTGTGTGTGTGTGTGTGTGTGTGTGTGTGTGTGTGTGTGTGCGTGTGTGCGTGTGTGTTGAGATACTCATGAGTGCAAACCTGCGCAGGGTCGAGGGGATTGGGAAAGATGGCGCTGACTGGTCGATCTCTCGGAGACAGACAGGTATTTTCTCTGGAATGCTTGTGTTTCTCTGCCATCTGAGGCGAACCTGGAATAAACAGCATGAGACATTAGAGCCGGAACACACACACACACACACACTCAAAGGCAAACAACATAAAAGCGACCAAACAGGGGTGAGGTGTTAGGCTATTACCCACAAATACCAGCAATCAGGAAAGGCCAATCTCTCCTTCTCCCTCCCAGCCATCCTTTCAGCCTCACTAGCTCCACAATGTGATAAATGGCCTGGTCCTTCCTTCTCTCTCTAACACACACACTCCCTCTGACCTCCCTCCTACACCTCCTCTTACACGGAACAGCCACAACACAGATGTGAGCTACAGCTAGACGGGGTTAGACATGTAACACAAGACAAGAGATAAGCACAAATGCCACACATTTGTTATTTTTACAGCAGCTGCTGTATGAATCTTGACCGAGCAGTGAATGCGATAGCACTTGGAAGGCCATCATATAAGTTAGCGATCGCTGGCTCTTGTTCAGGTAACGTCATTATGCCAATAATTCTCGACATGCTTTATGGGTGGACAGAGGGCACTTTTATAAGGGCGCCGCCCGCTGTCAGCAGCTTGCCAAAGGGGAGTGCATATGCTTCCATAAACGTCTTCATATATTCTTACATTTTATGATGGGGATTGGACAGAAACACATTTACACTTTTGAGCACATTGAGAAGGAAATGGTTTTAGATATTTTCGGTACAGAATGCATGGAGGTTTGGAGAAATATTAACAGAAACCTGTAATCAGCTGTAATAATCTCTTATTCTCTCTTGTGCATTTTCAAAAGCACTCCTCTCAACTCTTTTATTTTTCATCATTTCATGTTTTTGCTGCACTTTCTGCTTTGTTGCTGTCCCTCTCCACCCCCAGCTACATCCTCCAAGCTGTCTTCTAACCTCGCTAACCTCATCAGACAGAATGCCGCAGCGGTTTTAGAGAACATCGTGTCGCTAAAAGGTTATAAGTTCACTCTGTCCGTTAGGACTTCTCGTCTGCCACCTCGATGTGGATCGCTGGGGTTTGAAATATCATCTTACGAGCCTGAAGCGCATTATTTCGTAAAAGAAGTCGGCTCACCTCTGGCACTGGAGGGGGCTGAGCTGGTGACGTTGGGCGAGGCAGAATGGTTGGAGCTGAGGCTCGAGGTAGAAGGACTGGGCTGTAGGTGAGAGCGATAAAAATGACACAAACATAAAAAAAAGTTTCTGAACATAATAGAGATAAACACATAAAAACCTCAAAAGGTCCTGCATTTATTTCTGTAAGAAACTTTGGCAGTATCAGTTTCTGTGAGCGTGTTAGCAAATAAATAAAATCCAGAGTGGCTTTCAAGCAGATCACAGAATACCTCTCTCAAAACTGTCTGCTTGACCCTTACCATTCTGGGTCCAAAAATGGCCACTCCACTGAAACTGCTCTGTTAGCAGTGACAGAATCCTTAAAAGAAGCTAGAGCGACTGCCAAATCCTCAGTGCTTATACTGCTCGACTTATCGGCTGCATTTGACACTGTCAACCATGGCTTCCTTTTGTCCACACTCTAGCATGGGCATCACAGAGAAAGCACATGCCTGGTTTGAATCGTACCTCACAGGATGATCATTCAGTGTATCTTGGCTTGGACAATCCTCTACCGTGCACCATCTTGCCACAGGAGTCCCCCAGGGCTCTGTATTAGGACATCTTCTCTTTGCCATATACACCACCTCACTGGGTGAGATCATTCGATCACATGGCTTCTGCAGATGACACCCAGCTCTATCTATCATTTCCACTGGACGACCACACTGTTTCTGCACGAATATCAAACTGTCTCTCTGACATATCAAAATGGATGAAATCCCACCATCTCCAACTCAACCTCTCTAAAACTGAATTACTTGTCATCCCAGCAAAACCATCCATACAGAACAATATCTCAATCCAAAATGACTTCCCATCTCTGGCTCCTTCAAAGGCAGTTCGAAATCTGGGTGTTGTGATTGATGAACACCTGACCTTTAAAGATCATTTTACCTCTGTTGCTTGTTCATGCCGCTTTGCGCTGTATAACATACGAAAGATCAGACCATACCTAACACAACACGCCACCCAGCTCCTGGTGCAATCTACTGTCATCTCCCGCCTCGATTACTGCAATGCCCTTCTAACTGGTCTTCCAGGCTGTACTGTGAGACCTCTTCAAATGGTCCGGAACGCAGCGGCGCGTCTGGTCTTCAATCAGCCAAAAAGAGCACACGTCACCCCTCTGTTCATTGAGCTCCACTGGCTACTGCTAGCAGCACGCATCAAATTCAAATTGCTAACACTAGCATACAAAGTCCGAGATGGTATGCCTCCCATCTACCTGAATCCTCTTGCAAAGGCTTATGTCTCGGCCCGGCCGCTCCGCACATCACAAGATCGTCGGCTAGCAGTGCCTACACCACGCTCAGGACAATCCAGACTCTTCTCATGCATCGTTCCACAAATGTGGAATGACCTTCCAAGCACCACCAGAACTACGGCTTCCTTTTCAATTTTCAAGAAACTCCTGAAGACCCTGCTCTTCAGAGAGCATCTTCTAAACTAGCACCCTCCCTGCACCTGCGCCCCCCTCCCCCCCCCCCTCCCCCCACCGTCCACTCCTTTGTTCCCTCCTCTCCATTATTTATGTCAAGTTGTTGTTATTGTTGTTGTTAGCCTCAAGGGCAACATGCCGATTATCACTTGTAAGTCACTTTGGACAAAAGCGTCTGCTAAATACATAAACATATACAATGTAACATGTATATGTAGAGTAACATCCCTAGGTACCATCTTAGGTACCTCACCATTTGATTTCAATTCAGGGTCCTTGGATTCCAATATTAAATGATTATCACGATTGCCGCTATTTTTGATGACTTTTTTTCTATGTTTATTTAGCTACAGGATAAACACGAATAATGAAAATGATCCAAAGGGGTTTGAATGAAGACAATTCGTTTCTCATCCGAGGAGCTTTGCCAATTCTGACTGGAATATGGGAGGGTCAAGCTTATAAACTGTAGCTGTCTGTTGCTGCTTAACAAGCAGAAACTACATCTGAATACCCCTGCTCCCTATGTCCGGATGAGTCGTTGGAGCTGTTAGCCTCTGTTGTGTGGGAATCATTGTATTGATTAGATGCACGAGGGTGTGATCTAGACTGAAACCATTAGGGTTTAGATTAGATTAAGAGCTGCTTTTTAGGTGCTGGAATGATGAAACCTGAGTTTAATGTAGGGTTATAGTTGACAGAGATATCTTCATTTACTCCTCTCTCAAACCATCTATCTTCTCTGTCCAAATTGTGTACTTTGTCATCTTCAAAACGTTGTCCCTTGCCTTGTGTCAGTTTTTCGGCATTTGTTTATAATCATCTATGAACATTTACACATTTGATTTTGAATGGACACGTGTCCCATGCATCAAATAAATGGTCAATCGGCATGCCCCTACCTTTCATGCAGTGATGAGGAACTACATGTATAAATTCATGTGCCATATGTGGTTGACAACTAACTGTAGTTGTAGTTGTAACGGCCTTCTCAAACACGGGAACAACTGCCTATATGGGTTTTGATGGAAAAGGGTTTACTTGTTGTCTTTGCTTATTCTATTTCCTATTTTATCTTTGATATCTCATAATATCAACGCATTTCCTGTCTGGAATATAGTTTGATTGACTGACTGTATAACTTTACAATCAGTGCCCATAATTAAACTTTTTTTTTAAATCACTAGGTTATTCATGGCAGTGAATACGTCTGACACCTTCCAAATGAAAACATAAATCTGTAATTGGACAGCTTTAGCTAATTATATACTGTATAATAATGCTCTTTTTGCCCCTCATTTTCCAATAAATTGTATATAATCTGTAGGATAAAACCCTCAATATTCAAAACTAATTCAAAAATTGGCTCTGTCAGATCCCTGACAACAGCCGGTTTCCCTTCTCATGCTGTTATTCCGGGCCTGCCAGGTGCAGCAGACAGCTTGCCAGGAGTTGTCGGCAGCTCTCTGAATTGGCCAAATCTAGTTTAGATTAGGCTCGGGCGGGCTCCCTGGACAGCCTGCACAAAGCACTGTGTCCTGAATTGATATAATCACGACGATTTGTTTGGCCGAACGAAGCCCCGAACAAAGGAGTCAGGATGATAGAGAGAACGAGGGTCAGAGGAGAGAAAAAACAAAGGCGGAACAGGAGCGAGTTGGGAGTTAAAAAAAATTACTGCAGGTCGAGCCTTGGGGGAGCAGGAGGGCAAATGCTGAGATGTGGACTCAATCTACTACTTTGAGAGCCTTTACTAGACTGTGTTTGTATTTCAGAGGGGGATTACCTGCATGTTGAAGACTTCATCTGAGCTCTCTGATTGGCCGGTGATGTTGCTGACTTCATTGGAGGCTTGGGATGAGAGCGAGGATGAAGAGTAACGATTCACTGCAGGGTAGCTGCCACAGCTAAAGGGGTCAGACAGAAAGATTGTTACAATGGGATTTAATAAATACAATAAAGGTTTTCTGTAACAAAGTAAGATTGATAAAAGGTAATTTCATAAGGTTTACTGGTATTGTTATGGAGGGCGTATAAAATATATTAGACGATTCAGAGTCAATATACAAATGTTAAACATGAATTTGTTGCTTTGTGAGCCAGCATTGGACAACATTTTTCCACCAACTTTATTTCCAGGCATTGATGTTGCTGAAAAACACTTTTCCCCTGCTATTATTTCCCTGATCGGACATCATGGCTTCTGTCACAGCTCTTCTCTTCTTTTATGGCAGCGCGGTCACTTTTTTCATGAAACTGATCAAGCAGAAATTACATTTAATTTTCCTAGCCTCTACTTGTGTTTTGGGCCACATTTACGTTACTCTAGATATCTTCCTCCAGACTCTGGGACCTTGGTTTTATAAGGAAATGCAAAACTTAACTTCATCTGAGAACATAACTTTGTCTTTAGCCCAGGTGAGGCATTTCTGAGGCTGTCTCTTGTTCAAGAGGGGCTTGACACAAGGAATGCGAGAGCTGAAGCCTGTCTTACATATGACTGCGTGGTGGTTCTTGAAGCACCGACTCTAGCTGCAGTCCACTCTTTGTGAATCTCCCCCACATTTTTGAATGGGTTTAGTTTCACAACCCTCTCCAGGAGATAATAGGTTACCCCTATTGCTTGAACACCTTTGTCTACCACATATTTTCCTTCCATTTGCCTCTCTATTAATGTGCTTGGAGACAGAGCTCTGTGAACAGGCAGACTCTTTAGCAGTGACCTTTTGTGTTTTGCCTTTTTTTTGTTGCATTGATCTTTTTGTTGCATTGATCTTCATTGATAATATTCTCAGACACTGAATTTGGGATTTTCATTAGTTGTCAGTTATCATCATCAAAATTAAAAGAAATAAACATTTGAAATGTATCTGTCTGAATGTAATGAATGAACCTAATAATAACACAAGTTTCACCTTTTTGATGGAATTCCTGAACTAAATCAACTTTTTCGTGATATTCTAATTTTATGACCAGCATCTGTAGTTCCAGAGGGCACCAGGTTGGTAACTTCTGCTTTAAGTGAATGCTCACAGAACTTTTTCCACAGTATTTTTTTAATTGACTTGTAAAATTCTAGTTCTTTGTTTGTCTGTTTCTAGGGAATATTTAGTCTCATATATTGTCGAAGTGGTGCGTCGTCATTATTTTGATTTGGTTCTAAAGTACAAAGCAGTCACGAGGGAACAGCAGGGGGGAGAAAGATGCATGGTAACCAGCTGAAATGTAATCAAACTGTGGAGTACTCAAAAATCATTGCTATGTACACTGCTAAAAAAAAGTAATAAAGGGAACACTTAAACAACACAATGCCACTCCAAGTCAGTCACACTTCTGTGAAATCAAAATGTCCACCTAGGAAGCAACACTGATTGACAATTTCACCTGTTGTAAAGAACGAAGCATTTAATAAGAATACTTCATTCACTCAGATCTAGGATGTCTTATTTTTGTGATCTCTTTATTTTTTTGAGCAGTGTAGTTTCATCCATAAAACGTTTTATATTTAGTTTTTTCGATTAACCCTTTGGACTTTTGACTTACCCAAAACAATGGAGTTTGAGTGACATCAAGGCCAGCCAGGGAATAAAAACAAAATTAAACAGAGACACAGGAAGTAGTCTTTGATGCAAAGTCTTGGTGCAACAATCGCAGCTTTTTGTTACCAAAATGCTCATAATTGCATAAAATAAATGATGTCCTGTGAGTTTGCTTTTCACAAACTGTAATGCACAAAAGAAATCAAAAACGCTGAAATGTCACTGGAAGATGGAAGTGATGTACGCTTCCCCAAGTTCTTGTGCCCCGTGGGATCAGACTGTGGAAGCAGAATGCCGCAGGTAGACGGAGTGGAAGGGTCACTGAACACATCAAAAAACACACACACACACACACACACACACACACACACACACACAGTCCGCCTGCCGGTCTGACAGGAACCACACAAGAGCATCCCGGTGGGTATCATCCATCCACCCCCACCCAAACTAATAAACGTCCACACAAAGCCTCAGCAGTAAGGAGGGAAGGAGAAAGGACAGAGTTTGGCAGTCAAAGTGAAAAAATAAAAAAAGATGCGGCAGAAATGTTTAGGTGCTTTTTATACCTTTATCCTGGTAAAACAAAGGAGTAATCGACAACTGATTAAAGATCCCGAAAGCAGGGAAATACCTGACACTTGAATACTGAATAAGAAACTAACAAAAGGAAATTAAAAAAAGATGAATCCTCACCTCCGCCTGGCGACCCCCCTGCCTCCATCTGGGCTAATGATGCTCTGCACCGAGTTTCTGCAGGTCCGCGGGCTCCCGTTGGTGAAGTGCACGGGGCTCGCTCGCACGTAAGCTGGAAACTCCTGGGGTTTTGAAATGAAGAAGACGAAAGATGATTAAATGCTTTTCCCAGCCAGCATGAGGTACGTAAATACTAAAAAACAACAACACAGTGTGCCGATGAGGGAAGGCTGCTTAATGAGGGGTGGTTTTCTCCTTTAGAGGACTGTAGGGGTCATTTATTCTGAGGTATAAACACAGCAGAAGCTCTCGTGTCAAACTCAGTTCATGCTTCTTTAAAGACTCTGGTTAATAATTTAGAGGAAAATGCCAGAACACGTGTCAGATGATTTCGTTTTTGAGAAATTCTGTTAAATTACATTTAAACCATGGCTGGCGAACGACGTAAAAGAGCTTGAGGCCTACCTGGATGCCCAAACTGGATTTCATGAGATGGAACTGGTCCACTAACTTCTTATGAAGAGGTCTCATGTCTTGGGGAACATACTTCTCATGGACAGCGAGGCCGTACTCCAGTATGTGAGCCTGCAACACAAACATTTAAACGATCTGTGACCAAAAGTTTGCTTATTATTTCCAAAATTTTGTCCTGCTTAAAAGTCAACTTCTCTCATAGGTTTAATACATTTGCAGTGGTCTCTAGTGGAAATGAATGTCTTGTAAATCGTTTTCTGAAGAAAAAAAGCTCTGGTGCGCCTGTTTGAGGATGCAGAAGGAGAAAGTAGCTTCAGCATCGCAACACTTCCACTGACTCTGTTTGCTCTGCAGCGTTAATGTTTTATCTCCACAAATAACACATGCTCGAAGGAGTTCTGCTGTGTGGTGCATAGGGATGGGTACCGAATTCGGTACTTTTTAAGGTACCGACCGAATTCCATAGTACCGACCGAGCACCGATTCACGTCGTTTCAAACGGTGCCTCGTTTCGGTACCCGTCCATCATAACGAGAACTTGCCTAGACAGCTGCGCATGCGCAAGAGCGTTATGTCGTCGGTCCCTGCGAGTGAGTTGTAAACAGAGCAGCATGGGTAGAAAGAACGCACGCTAACGCTTGGGTCTACTTCACTAAATGTGATGGGTAACTGGGTGATGAAACCAGCGACAGACAACGATCTAAGTGAGTCATCCTCATCTTAATCTGTTCCGGTAGGTAAATAAAATGTTTAAGATAACGTTACCTTGATATGTTAGCTTCCGTTTCGCTAATGGTGCGTTCGCTTTCTCCTCGGAACTCCGAATTTCCGCCTAGAAGAACATGAACGCGCTCTAAAGTTTGGCTTCACTTTACTAAATGCGTTGGGTGATTGGGTGAAGAAGAAACCAGTGACAACGATCTAAGTGTGAGGCATCATCGTTTTAATCTGCTCCAGCAGCTAAATAAACTGCTTAAGATAACGTTAGCTTGATATGTTAGCTTCCATTGCCACCGTTGTTATCAGCTAATGGTGCGTTCGCTTTCTCCTCAGAAATTCTAACTTCCCAGTAGGAAAAATCAAATGAAAAAATACGGCAAAAGGAATGAAGATACTCAGTAAATTTAGTTCACAGTAAAGATATTTGCTTCAGTTTAATTATCAGCTTATAAAACTACAAGGACGGTGTTAAAATACAAACAGTTGAATGTTATTTATCAAATATTGTTATATATAGAGAAAAATATATATTTAATTATAAAAGAGAATTAAAATAAACACTCAAAAGTATCGAAAATTGGTACCGTTAAGTACCGGTATCGATTCGTAGGTACCGGGAATTAGTACCGGATCGATTCAAATGTCAAAGGTACCCATCCCTAGTGGTGCAATTGCTAATGCTAATAGCTGGCTTCTACTGGTCAAGACGTCCTCTGCCCTTTCCTGGACACTAAATCAACAACAGCATTGACATTTGTGAGTCAAAATGGGTGAATCCATGACCATTAAGTGACAGTGTGATGTAGATCTGTCAGGCTTTTCTGAACTGAGCATTTTTCCATCTATGAATTTTCAGAAGCTAATGCAGAAAATAGGGTAGAAGATCATTTTCACATCCAGGTTATATGTTTAACTCAAGAAATCAAAAGATTTAACTTTTAGCATTGATTTAACCAGAAAAACATTAATGACAACCCTTTTAAAAGTTTTGTTGAGAGACATTTTGGAGTAGTTGCTGGATTATACAGTGCTGTGAAAAAGCATTACTCCTATTCAAATTTAACAATTTTTCCACTTTTTGCCATATTTAAATGATTTAGATCATAGATCAGAAAATAATTTCAGATGACTTGGACAAAAACAACATGTCAGACATGTAGAATTAAGAATTTGTCAGATGGCTAAAATATTTTAAAGAATGTCAACAACAAAGGAACCATGAACATCAAAACCATTGCGGGCATTAATTGGTTAAGGTCAGAGGTCATGACTCAACAATTTGAAAGAGACCAAAAGCACTGCTCCAAAGAACAGAGTGTTCCATCTTACATTAGCTAAAAAACATGGTGTTGGTAGTGAATGGCCTTGGACTGAAAAACCTCCAATGAGGCAAAATTTCGACCATTCTGCAAATAAGAGGACCAAAATTCATCACTTTACCACACATGCTTGATTCCTATTGTTGCCTGCAAAAGTGTGACAACCAGTTGAAACTTTAGGGAGAACCTGTCCACATAGAACCGCATTAGTTTGGATAATCGTCCCGCCATCATCATTTGAAAACTGCATTTTTATTGACTTGGGTTGTCTTTATCTGTTACGAAATTTTGTTTCCTGATCTGAAACACTCAACTGTGACCAAGAAAGGCAAAAATGTAAGGGGCAAATAATTTTCCAAAACATATATATATATATACATGAAAACATGTAGATATAGAAATGAAAACTGGTGGTCCTCAAACCAACCCCTGTGGGAACTCGTTAGTTAAACACCTCAGGTGAAGGTTTTTTCTCCTAACCTGCTCAAACATGAGTTCTCTCAGGCGTCCAATCTTGTCACCGTCCTCAGGATGATTCATGATGTAGTCCTTCACGAAAAAGGCCTGTGTGAGCGGAAAACGCAGAACAAACTGAGAACACAACAAAACAAAATTTAAAGCAATGTGACTGAAAACCCATTGGACTTGACTCAATTATTTAGTGTTTGGGACACCCCCTTCCCATTTCAATTCAATTCAAGTTTATTTACATAGCGCCAAATCACGACAAGAGTCGTCTCAAGGCACTTCACATAATAAACATTCCAATTTCATTTCTTGAGTCCTTCAAAATATTTCAGAGAGACTATTTTATCTAGATGCATAGTAATTTTGTAATTCTGTGCAGGTTCTTGATTAATAACTTAGTCCTTTGTGGAAGAAAAGCTATAGATTTTCTTTTTCTTTTAATTTTGATTGAAAAAGCTCATTTGGTATCAAATTCAAAAAGCTCTATTCATGCCACTTATGTTTATGAAAGAAATAATCATACTTATTTATTATATATATATATCAATCTGAACCTTCTATTCACTTTCAAACTATTTCTTCAAAAAGGGAATCTCACAGAAGAAACACATTGCCTGAGCCATTTCTGAGCAGTTTCCTATTGCATCCTTACATTAATTGCCAGCTCCCCGCTGTGCACAGTCGCATGAACACTTTTCATATGTCTGCAGACTAGACTAAATCCTTTTCAGTCTGCATTTGAGTACACCAAAGAGGGAAAGAGAGGATGAAATAATGAAAAGCACAGCTCACAATCTGCTCTCAAATCTACCCCAGCAGGAAACGTGGAGGAAAACAAAAAAGAGGCACTGAGAGGTAAAAGGGGGTGTTAAAAAAGCGTAGTACAGCTTCTCACAAGGACGCAGCTGTCTGTTTCCAAAGAAACACGCAGGGGGGAAGAAGCTCAAGGCTGCTTCAAAAACAAGTGCAACACACACACACTCACACACACACACACACACACACACACACATGCACACATGCACAAGTGAAAAATTTATAACAGCTTATTATTCCAAACACGTCATAAACCTTTACACTGTCACACATGGATATTCACTTGTAACTTTATAGTTATTTGAATCAAAATTTGAAGGAAATCTTGACATTTTTCTGGTCATATTTTCATATTTATGTAAAATAAAAAAAGCTTTTAGGTAAACGACAGGACAATTCAGATATAAAACAGTTTTAGGATGGCTGAAATCCATTGTGTAACTGGCTCTGCTGTGATTATAAATGACCCAAACTTTTATAGCACCTTGTAGAGTCAGAGGACTCCAAAGTGCTTCATTTACCCATTCACACACACATTCACACACTGGTGGTGGTGAGCTACAATGTAGCCACAGCTGCCCTGGAGCGCACTGATGGAAGAAGAAGAAGAAGAAGAAGAAGAAGAAGAAGAAGAAGAAGAAGAAGAAGAAGAAGAAGAAGAAGAAGAAGAAGAAGAAGAAGAAGAAGAAGAAGAAGAAGAAGAAGAAGAAGAAGAAGAAGAAGAAGAAGAAGAAGAAGAAGAAGAAGAAGAAGAAGAAGAAGAAGAAGAAGAAGAAGAAGAAGAAGAAGAAGAAGAAGAAGAAGAAGAAGAAGAAGAAGAAGAAATCATTTCTATAGCGCCTCTCAAGATAAAAATCACGAGGCGCTTCACAAAAACAAAAAATGTAAAAATATAAAAAAGAATTTAGAAAATGATAAAAATTTATTTAAAATGAGCAAAAAATAGACAATTGTGGTTAAAAATGTTAAGAAAGAGAGAGAGAGTGAATAGGAAAGAGGGAAATCAGTGGATCCTGAGGAAGGTGGAATAGGTGGGGAGAGCAGAATAAAGAGAGAGTGGTGAAGAAGGTCATACAAAAGCCAGCTTGAACAAGTGAGTCTTCAGCTGTTTTTTAAAGGAGACCACTGAGTCCACTGATCTCAGGCTCAGGGGGAGAGAGTTCCAGAGTCTGGGGGCCACAGCAGCAGATGATCTGTCACCTTTGGTCTTTAGCCTGGTGCTGCACAACCAGTAGGCTTTGATCACTGGACCTCAGGGACCTGCTGGGGGTGTAGGGACTAAGAAGATCACCAATGTAAGATGGTGCTTGTTCATGTAAGGCCCTATAGACCAGAACCAGGATCTTGAAATGAACCCTGAAGTTGACTGGCAGCCAATGAAGCTGGAGGAGAAGCAGGGTGATGGGGGTGTGTTTGGAGGACTTGGTCAGAAGCCGAGCACAGGCATTCTGAACCACCTGTAGCTGGTTCAGGGAGGTTCTGCTCAGACACGTGAAAAGAGAGTTACAGTAGTCTAAGCGTGAGGAGATGAAGGTGTGGAGAACTGTCTCAAGTTCAGAGCGGGTCAGAATGGGACTCAGCTTTGCAATGTTCCTGAGATGGAAGAAGGAAGAGCGAACAACAGAACTGACATGAGAATCCAGGGTGAGAGCTGGGTCAAAGGTCACACCAAGATTCCTGATGGAGGATTTGGAGTGTATGGAGGTGAGGCCACCTTACACAGGCACTGCCGGTCCCTCTTACTAACGCCAACAGTCAAGGAGGGTGAAGTATCCTGCCCAAAGGCACAACAGCATAACTGTCTGGGAGCCGGCATCGACCCTGCAACCCTCTGATTACGGGACAACCTGCTCTACCTCCAGAGCTACTGCTACCCCAGTCGGCCTGCTTGAGTATGAAAAGACTTATAATGAAGATTACTGAACGCCATTTACTGAGGTGTGAAATACCATCTAGAGTTCACGTTTTAAATGAATTACCTATTTACATCAGCAGGTGGCAGCACTGAGCTGTTTAATGAACTTAAAATATAAATTGTTTTTATTGTGCCAGAATTAATAAAGAAAACTAAAAAGGCTGGATCAATTTAGGCCACGCACAAAACCATACATGTTTTATGTATATGTATTTAATATGATTGTGGAACATATAGTAAAGATTGTGATTTTTAAACCTAACTACATTTTGGGCTATTTAGAGCAACCTAACCACAGTATTTTCTAATATAAAACAGCTCCAACTAACAAAATTAAATGTACATTATAATATGTGACAGTGTGGCGTTCTGCTGCATACCGGTGGGACCCATAACCAATCAAGATGCAGCAGCAGCAGCGTTGTGACTTTTTAGCTTTTGACAGGCAGAAATTTGGATTTTGAGCACAATTTTTGTCTTGTCTCCTCAGCGAAAACTCCAAATGCCGTTGGCGTTTTGCTATCCCTCTGTCCATCCATCCATTTTCGTCAACTTATCCGGGGTCGGGTCATGGGATCAGCGGCCTAAGCTGAGAGGCCCAGACGTTCCTCTCCCTAGCCACTTGGGCCAGTTCCTCCGAGGGAATCCCAAGGTGTTCCCTGGCCAGGTGAGACATAGTCCCTCAAGTGTGTTTTGGGTCTTGGTTTAGGTCTCCTCCCAGATGGACATGCTTGGAGAACCTCACCAGGAGGCATCCTAACTGGCTCCTCTCAATGTGGAGCAGCAGTGGATCTACTCTGAGCTCTTCCCGGATGACCGAGCTTCTCACCCTATCTCTAAGAGAGAGCCTGCGGAGAAAACTCATTTTGACTTCCTGTACTTACAGTCTCATTCTTTTGGTCAATATCCAAAGCTCGTGACCATAGTTGAGGGTAGGAACGTGCATTGACTGGTAAATCGAGAGTAGCTGAAATGCAACGTTTGATGACTAGGTTCATTTGCCTGGCCGAGTCTCCACAACTGTCAACTGGCATTACAGGGGTTATCAGATCATTATAGGTTGATACCATACAAGAATACGTTGAAGGTCCATCCATTAGAATTTCACTCGACACTGATGGTGGAAAGTATATGAAGCTACATCATAACATAAGCAACAGAAGCACAACCATGCATGTGAGCTTCCCCCAGATGCACGCTCCCAGCTGTTGCTATGCGACACGGAGTCCACTCACTTTACAGAGGGTAAAAAACTATTTCCTTGAGTAGATTTTAAGTCTTTTTTCCTTTTCTTTCTGTGGCTCTCCATGGAAATGTACTGTACTGGTATCCTCCAGATGCTCAGGTGGAGGCAGAAAAACTGGAGTGGATGCAGATGTTTGTTTTTCACTTTTTTCAAGGTACAATAAAGCAGCTGTATAAACACTCCCACCTCATTTAGCTAGCTATTATTAGCCATCCATCTCTTTGCATTTCTCAACCCCATTCCTCTTTTTGCCATTTTTTGACGTGACCCTGCTTTGCCCTCTCATTCATCCTTTCATCCACCCATCCATCCCACTGAGTGAAAGCTCCATTCCGTCCACCAACATCACCCATCTATCTCGTTTTCCCTGCTCTCGCCCCCACCTTCTCCTGCTCTCCACTCATCTATAAATTCGATCAAACCATCGCCCAGCGTTCATGCGTCCATCCATCCAACTGTTCATCTATTCCTCCCTTCACAAAGCTCTCCTTTTTTCATACATCCCTCCGCTTCATACATCCCACCTTCATACATCATTAGACAATCTATATGTCACTGCTCCCCACTCGAGCCTCGCTGTCTAAGCCCTTCCAACGCCATTCTCCATCGAGCCGTTTCATACCTCTTGGTACCGGGCCAGCCCCCCGTTGACGGCGGCGTCGATGACCCCGTTCAGGCACATGGTGAGGGGGTTGATGTTCTGCATCTGCCGGCTCTGACACTGGGTGATCAATGTGCGTAATTGCAGGTTCTTGTTTTCGATTACCTCGATGGCGTTCTCCAGCGGGCTCACCTCCACCTGTGAACACAGAGGTTGTAGAAATGTTTTTTCAGACTTTATGGTTTTACTGAAGGCAGTGCTGTAGGGAATTCCCTCACTCTCTCTTTTACCCCTAACCCAAAAGATCAGGTATTTCTGCTTCATCTTAGAGGTGCTACATAAAAAACCTTTATTCCTTAAATGTTAGATGTGAAATGTAGTGGAAGTCCACTTGTGTCATAGGGCTTATCTGGGCCATGAGCTCACTCCATCTGGTCCACCAAGTGTTGATGGATTTTTTTGTTTCAACCAAAACTGACAAAGCTCAACTTCAGGTGGTGGCAGCTGTGGGAGTCACCCAAACATCACAATATCATCCCATTGACTTTATGGTGTGCCTTAGTATATTTACTCTGAAAAAAAAATCCATGACTTGATTTATTCCAAAGCCTTTATTTCAACCCAATACGGGCAACTAAGCTAGAAGAAGTAGAAGCAAAGCCATGTTGGTCTGAGAGGAGAAGTCGCTTCCAAGTCTCCAAGGCTTGGAATTGTTCAATCCAACAATGAAAATGGGATGGCACTTAGTGCCTATGAGCAAGTTCACTTTTGATTAGGTTTATCAACATTTTAACTCCATGGTAGTGCCACCTTATGGAAGAGGCTGGTGGTCCCAATAAAACAAAGGAAAACTCGGCCAACAATCAAAAACTAAAAGTTATATAGAGATCTATAAAATGTCTAGACCACGATGGACATGGAAGCTCCTAACCATGCATGGAGGGTTCCATCCCAAATCTAGCACCCTGAGACTGTACACTAGCTGTAAGGAAGGAGGCCGAGGACTAGTGAGTGTGAGAGCCACCGTCCAGGATGAAATATTAAGATCCATAAGTACATCAAAGATAAGACTTCAACAGATGACGTGCTCAGTGAATGTCTCAGGCAATGGTGAATAGAGGAGACGCTGGAAATACCATCGTGGAAGGACAAGCCCCTACATGGGATGTACCACAGACAGATAACCAAAGTGGCTGACAGCACAGAGGTACTCATCATGGCTGCACAGGAACAGGCCCTGAACACCAGAGCAACAGAAGCCAAGATTTACCACACCAGACAAGACCCAAGGTGTAGACTATGCCAAGAGGCCCCTGAGACAATCCTCCAAGTAACTGCAGGGTGTAAGATGCTGGCAGGGAAAGCTTACATGGAACACCACAACCAGGTGGCTGGCATTGTGTACAGAAACATCTGTGCAGAGTATGGACTTGAAGTCCCAAGGTCACAGTCGGTAACACCCCCTAAAGTGGTTGAGTACAAGAAAGCCAAGATCCTGTGGGACTTCCAGATCCAGACTGAAAAAATGGTGATAGCGAACCAACCGGACATTGTGGTGGTGGAAAAACAACTACTGTTGTGGTTGATGTGGCAATACCAAGTGATGCAACATCATGACAAGGGAACAAGCAAAACTAGAGAAATACCAGGGCCTCAAAGAGGAACTTGAGAAAACCTGGAGAGTAAAGACATCGGTGGTGCCCGTGGTCATTGGGGCACTCAGGGCAGGAACCCCCAAACTGAAGGAGTGGCTAAAGCAGATCCCAGGAAAAACATCTAGTTCTAGGAACAGCTAAGATACAGCGCAGAACCCTCAAGCTCCCAGGCCTCTGGTGGAGGACCTGAGATTGGAAGGATGAGAACCATCCATGGTGGGTGAGATGGGAATTTATAGTTCTTTACAGAACATGCATAAAACCAGCCATGATTTTTAATTTAAACATGGTTTTCACTGCTTTAGTTTACTGGTGGAGAGACTTTGATGGGAATTTCATTTTTCATATCTGTTTGTTATATTTGAGTTTTATTCAGCTAAAATGCAGCATTTAATCACCTGTTGGTCGCCTCTGCACATATGTCTGAATGCCTATTCTTGTGCATCCCTTCTTTTCTTTTTTTTTTTGACAAACCTTAATCCTTTTGCCAATTTCACATTTCATATGCTAGTGCACCGCACAGCCATCATAGGGTAATACTGGCTTTACATTTCACAATTTCACACCACGCTCAGCAGCTGTGAACTAAAGAAAATGTGCTTACGGCTTAGGAGACAGACCTGCATTGTTTTGTCTTTGCATACAGTGGGGGATAAAACTTACATTTAAAGTCAACCCACTCTTTAGAGTTTTCAATGAGACCATCCAAAACAAACCGCCTTTTAGAGAATTTACATGTAAGACAGAGATTTCAGCCTAAAAACACCAAAGAATTAAATTTCACACCCTGAAACGTGGACATGTTAAAACGTAATCTGTCTGCAATCCAATGGAAAATTCTGCCTGAAATCAAAGTCCAAGCATGTTTTTTTTTTGTTGCCCAATAAAATGACTTGGATCAATATTTATGTACTAGCTAGCTGTATTTTGAATTGCAACCCACAATATAAAGTTGCATTGCCATGTGCCTTATGTGGGATGATGTTGTATTTATGCCGTCACGGTTATTTCCTCAAAACGAAGAAGAAAAAAAATAAACTAAACTCACCAGTTCTCGCTTCTCAACTTCAAACCAGCGGGAGATGCCCGGGAGACTCTGGACCAGAGTCAGGGTTGTCCTCTCCACCCACAAGCTCTGCAGGGACCCACAATACTCCCATCAGAATCAGCCGAACACTCCAAAATAAGCTAAAATCCATAACTGCTGCATTCCATTTCTGACAGATTGCAAATAATATAATTACCAACATTTTGTTAAGAGTGGCAAAAACCAGATCGGCACACATATTCTGCCAAACGCCCACTTTCAGGTGTAGGTCAGGTGTCATGTCTTATATTTTCTATCATCATTCATGTTCTACAGCTTCCAGCCAGAATGCGTGCCAACTTCTCACAAGGTCACTCTGACAGGACATAAACCATGGAAACTCTAGTATTAACCGGAGGCTATTAGCATAACAGATTCACTCAATAGCAGAGCATCTTTAATAGAATTTATGATGTGTTGTAAACACGCTGACAAACATTTAGGGTGGCAGACTGCTGTGCTCATTTTTGCCTTTAATCCTGGAAAGTCACTTTAATGTTGTTCCTTCAAACATTTTTTAGCTAAGTTAGACAAAATCTGAAACATTTTTCTATGAGAGGGATGTTTTCTGATTATATCTCAACAATAAGATCAAGGGAAGCTGGATTTAGTCTAATCCACATTTAGAACCAGGATTCTTGCTTCAGGACCCTCCAAAAGAGCAGCTGATGCACAATATTGATCCGGTGTCCTCATGCTGAAGGAGGGTCTTCTGACTCGCTACACAACCCTGTTGCCCTTTATTGATTTTATGCTTTTTAAAGGCCAACAAACCCACCTGAACACAACTTGGGGAGGAAAAAAGATGTCTAAACAGCAGGAAGTTGAAAGCAAAACCTAAAATAAACATTGACCTTTTCTGGAAAAATACAGATAAGATGTTTTTAGGTGTGGCGTTTTTGAAATGGATGTGATGAACAGACATAGCCAATAAAAGTTTAAAACTGTGAATTAATGTGTGTTAAATGACCTTGATGGAAGTTTGATGAGAAAACTGCATGAGAGTGATAAAAATGAATATTTATGAGAGTGATTTTGGGCTCCGTGTGCAGCCTGCGCACGTGTCTCAAAGTGTGTGCAGCTGTGGGACGCCAGCATCAAGCTGTAAAGACTTCATTTGCTTTAACACGGCTCTGACTAGCGCCTGAATTTTGTGCATAATTACAGCATTCCTGATGAATAAAACATGCAGTATATACAGACTAATACCTGAGCGTCGGGGCAAGTTAACACTACCTACACAGCTCATCACAAATGAACAAAATACATAGTGTCAAAGTTAAAAAATGCTAATAGGGTAAATACATGTTTTTAAATAACCAACAGCGACAAATTACAAAAGGTGTACTCACACAAAAGGCTGCATGTGCTTGTAGCAGAAATCCACATTTTATATCCTCAGATTAACTTTGTTTGGATTTACACGGAGAAGAACAATGACATTTTCACACAAAGGTTTCTTTCACACTTAGCAAGAAAAAAGGGGGGATTTGAAACAGGCTTATAATCATATAAATTCCACATTTTCGAACATCTGGCTAACTCCTATATTTTCTCCCAGGAACGTAAATTTTGCCAACTGACTTGTTTGTTTCCCTCGAGCAATCAAAAAGACGGACATTATCAGGACTTGGTCTGATCCATGTCAAACTGCCAAGACCGTACTCTCCTCCAAGGTTTGAATGCTCATAAAACCTTCTCAGGGCATGTTCTGGAAGACTTCAGAATTTAGTCTTTATCAAGACCCTGATCCACAGTCAAAAGGTGTTTAGATTTGTTCACCATTAGAAATCAAGGTGCTCTAAGTTTAAAATCTTATCAGTTACAAACCTAACTGCATGCTTTGTGTTTTTCTTTTATGTTAAACCTCTGTCAATTTGTGTTTCTCCAGTTAAAAGTTCATGCTAATGGTAAAACTGTTTAGTTTTAAGACATGAATTTTATTCTTTCCCATTTAAAGTAATACTTTGATGCTAAAGTAATACTTTTTGAGGCTTTATATGAATAACTGTGTTAAATTGTGATCATGGACTTTCCATCTTTAAGAAGTTAGTTTATTTGAAAGAGCCACAGTGCCATCAAGTGGTTAAGGAGTGAAATACATGTGGGTGTGACAAAAAGAAAGTTTATTAAACTAGAAGTTGAGACCTCGTGGGGCAGAACAAAGAAGAAAGATGCCTTAAGCAAACCTCTGCTGGGCTTTTCATTTGGGCCCAGCACCAGATAACCCGACACTCATAAATTTGTTAAGCCATTATTAGCTCTCAAAAGTTACAGTAAAAATCAGAAGCAATCCCGTTTGTTTGTTTTGACTTTCTACGTGAAACCGGAAGTCTGCGTGGCGCTCGAGTTTTCATATTAAGAGTAAGAGCAATTTGGAACAGTTTGATGATTCAGCTCCATTTGGGATAATTTGGGCATGCGATCTGAATTCCACGTTTCGAGGCCACTGAAATGAAGGAAACTTGAATCAAGCCACTACGGGAGAACACCTTCTTCCATACACCACAGACACCGTTGACCTAAGCTGAGGTGCCAAAAAGTCCTACGGCCCCTGAAGGCCGCATTCAAGCTTCTGGACCGGCTGAACCAGCCCACAGGACACCTCTTTGGCGACGGAAAAAGGTCTGTGAAGCATCTCATCTGGCTGACTGTTGTGCTAAGCCTGATTAGTGAATTCAGATTAGTCCAATTCTTTATGGCGTGTTTTTATTTCGATCCCAGATTCACGTTAGCCTTCAAGATCCCCTTCCTTCTGCCATAACGAGCCACCCGAACACACACACACACACACACACACACACACACACACACACACACACACACACACACACACACCCTCCCTTGGTTCTCCTTTCAGAAATTATTCCTAATAGTTAATATGGTCCTATGTGTCACCAAGTTTCCACTTTATTACAAATCAGTTATTCCATATCACTGCCATAAAGCTCTGGGTTAACAATTGTCTTTAATTCCATGCATGAAACGATAAGCTGTGTTTGGTCCTTTTGTCCATGCCTTAACTGATGTTTGTAATAAACTCACAAAACGTAAATATCACCTGATCATTGTCCAGCAATTCTCGGGAATAATCGGCACATTCTGTCAAGAATTCATCCTTTAATTTGTATTGTTAACTCGGAGACTGATTACATTGCAACGATATAGATATTAAATCCAATGGTCCAGTTCCGGAAACTGGTGGTGCCCCGATTCATTAAGATGAGATTATAAACAAGCTAAATCTACGCCACATTTAAAATATAGATATAAATCTATATTTATCGCTACATGCTGTTTCTTAATAGAATCTCAATTGGCTGCAACTTGTCTGAGACACAAAACTGTGATGCAATACCCAAGATTTGAATTGGAGTGAAGCAGAATTTAGTCTTTTATTGTCTTTTTAAGGTGCAACAAAGATGAAATTTATGACAACTTTGCACGAACACAAAGTCATTAGATAAACCTTTTCAGTGGTTTTTAAAGGGAGACAGTTTGGCTTGTATTTAGCACCCCCTAGTGTCCGTTTGAAACGTCTCCCCAGCCTTCATTAGTGTCTCCAGGAGTGACTCAACACTAACTTAAACAAATCAGCTGTGTTCATGATCTAAAACATGCAGGAAACATGCTGGAACCAGACTGCAGCGCCAGGTTTGTCAGCTCAATTTTTTCCAAGTCCCAACAGAGCGGCCCGACAGTTTGAAGTTGCAAGTGGAATATTCTGTTCTCAGGGGCGAAAGGAGCTGGGTGGCCTTTCATTAACCCTATAAATGGTCATTTTAGCACATGCTGGCTCAAGAAAATCATTTTAAAATGTGAAAAAGTTGCAAAGTATCCCTTTAACTCTAATAGCTAATCAGCCAATCACAAGCAATGACACATGTAGACATGGTGAAGACAACTTGTTGAAAATCAAACCAATGACCAGAGTGGGATAAACATCCACTCATGTCAGGTGAGAACAGAAAACTGAGGCTAATGGGGGACTGGAATGGCTGTGTCATGTTTCCATTATGTCCCATTTAATTTACACCATCTCCTCCATCTCCAAAGACATCTCACCTTTCTATTTTCCAAACGTCTATGACCACTCTATCATTCGTTCAGGAGTAAATGAGTGCCGCTGATTCACACGGAAAAATTGAGAGAGAAAAATTGGAAACCCTTTAAAAAGTGGCACCCAGTGAGGTGAGAAGTAGAAAGTGTACCTTAAACTCATTCTCCTTGTCTTTGGTGCCCTTGTGAAAGGGCCGGTCGTATCTGAACCTCCAGATGTGATTAAACTTGTAGAAGCTTTTGATGTTGTCCGGCACCCCGTCCCGCTGCAGCACATCCTGACTCTCCGGGATGGGCGTGACGGCGTAGATCTGCAGGTCTGGAAGCACATAAGAGTGAAGGAAAAGCACCAGACAGCGACGAGGGAAAAGCACGAACGTCAAGTTCGCCCAGCGAACACCTCGAGGCCGTGATGACCACAAAACAGAACACAGAACTAAAAGTGGAGGTGATTCAGCTTCGGCGTCACCTTTACGACGGGAAAACTTGAGACAGCTCACAAATCCATGTGAATGAGTGTTTGTGACAAGCTCACACAAATGGGTGAGCATTCTGACACAGATTGTATTGATTGGTGTAACGGGAGAAGAACACAGCAGACAAATCCGTGTCATCATGAGCAGAAAAACAACATTTGGGATGAACATGCTCCTCACAAAGCGCTGCTCAGTACTTGTGCTCCTCTATCTAGGCCAACAGTTGCCCCATACATTTGTGTGAATAATTAACAAGGCCCACATATTGTTTGAGTGAATTGAAATAAAAAGAGGAAGGGGGTGTCTTAATGCGAGGCAGTGATTTATGTACAGAGAGGGCTTGGATTCAGAGCACAAAAACCTGCCAGGAAACGCGGAGCCTCGCGTTAGTTCAGTCATGTTTATGGCCACACACTCTATATTTGTTGACCTACATCTTGCGCCTCACAAATGAATGTATTATCACCCTACTTAAAGCCTTGCTTCCTCTGATAAAACTGTCATTTTTTATGTTTCCTGTGCTTTATTTTAGGACATCTGGGAAGAATAAGCTGCAGTTTTAGATCAAAAGCTAAAATCTGAGTAGTAATAGTCCTGAATAAGAAGCACGTTCCTGGGGTTTGAGGTTTTTCCTAACAATGTATTCTGCATATATATATATATAAGGATACACTGTGCATCAGCCTGGTAAATGGTCTGGTCCGGCTGGTTGACGTGCTGCATGGCGATGGCGTGGGGGAACTCGTTGAGCATCCGCTGCTGGAAAGCCTCCAGCCTCTCGTAGTCATGGCCGCGACACACAAACTCTTTATTCTGCAGCAACAAGAAGGGATGAGGAGAGGGGAAAAAATCAAATCAAAACAAAGGCTCGTGGGACTAGATTGCCATCTAGTGGCGGCAGCATGCAACTGCAGCCTGTGTGTGCGGATCCCACCAAGGACAGCAGGGCCTGTTACATCATTAAATAGCTCTGAATAGGAGCTGCTGAATGTCACATTCCACTGGAGGAGACTTATGTAAGAAGAGTGAATTATTTCAGTAGATTCTATTTCAGTTTTTTTAGGAGACAAATAATAAAGGATTGCTTTTATTCAACTGGCAATTCATGAGAGAGGAAACGTGGAGGATTATTTACCCGCAAGAAGAAAGGGAACTTCTTTCCATAGAATCCAACGCGGAAGAACTCAGGTTCTAGTCTTTGCTGGTCCATAATCTTGTCATAAAGAGATGCTTCCATCATCTGATAAAGAGAAGTCCAATGCTTTTAGTAAACAAAGTCAGCTGCTTGTTGCTACAGCAAAAAACAGCTGAATCAGACCTTGCCCACTAAGCTCCATCATGCTTCTGCTCTCATCTGCTTACCTCCACATTTTACAGACTTACCCTCATTTTACTCAAGTTTCTGTAGTCGTAGTAAGACTCATACTGGTCAGCGAGCTCCCTGCACAGAATGATGCCGTTCTCCCAGCACTGATGCCACGGAAAAACAAAAATCAAGTATCAGCACAAATCTAAAGATAAAGCTCAAGGAAACGCTACTGGAGTGCTGCTAAACCTCTCAGCCCCACTTGATGGCACTGGTGAGTCACTAATGCCATCAATCACACTGGTGCAGCAAACCAACTGCCTTGCTAATTAAATGGAATGCTTCTTTTTCCTGCTGCCTCCTGGTCCCCTGAAAGCACCAACAGATGGCACAGCTTGTGAAAGTGGACTAGGAGAAATGAGAGAGCGATTTTAATTATCCTACAGAGGTACGTAAATTCATCTGGGACAAAGTTTATTTCAGCATTTTGGTCGACTGAAGTTAAGTTTTGATTTTAAAAATGGCCTCTGAAATAAAACATAAAAGAAAACAAAGAAAGAAAAAGATCAAACAAAACATGAGAACAAATCTCAAAAGGTTTTATTTACCTGCAACGTTTCGTTTGTGGCTGCAAACTTCGTCAGTTTGCAGCCGCAAACGAAACGTTGCAGGTAAATAAAACCTTTCTGTGTTTTAAAAAGAACTAAAAGATGGAATTAGAATTTCAACACAGCAAGAACACACCAAAGATGTTTAAATCTCAAAAGACTCAAATCTCCATATGGGCTGCACTTTCACTCCTTGTTTGCCTTCATCAGCGTTTTGATGCCATGCCTCAGTGAGGTTTGGTAGAGCACGTTTATTTTAAATTTGTTAATTCATTACTATGTTAATATGTTACTATGTGAATATTTTATGGACCACTGGATGAATTCCGTCTACATTTAAAGCCGCTTTAGCAAATTTACAAAACAAACTGGGTTTTTAACGCATACACGGTCACCCTAGCCCCACTCACCCCTCCCCTTGGGTATCTTCTCTAAGACACTTCTGCGGGAACTGGACACCCACATTTCATGAGGAAACGAGATAGTGTTAAACACCACTCGTCTTTTGTTGTCTGTGACTTCATGGGTATGATATTATTGAGCCATGAGGTGTTCTTTTGCTAAATGCACAAGTGCGTAACATAAGGAGGATGCAGGGAAGTGTGGAGGTTTGGCGGTCTGACCAGACCAACATCCAGATTAGAGCCCGGCACGGGCCTAAAATCTGAGCCCGTGTCCAGCCCGGCCCGAGGGGGTGGAGCCCCAGCCCGACCCGGACCGAAATTCAGGATTCTCTGGCCTGACCCGAGCCCGACTTTTTTTTTAACCTTGCATAATGTTTTAGCGTAATAGAATGCTCAGCATTCTAATTATCTGTGAGAAGCGTTCTGCAGTTTTAAAAAAAAGAAGAAAAGAAAGAAAAACAGCATCAAGGCAGCTTTTTTTTCTAACAGAGCGTATTTTTCGAGCGACAGATGAAATTTACAAACACTATATTAATTGGATGCGTTTGTAAATTTAACCTGCTCTGAAAATGCGCTCTTGTGCAATTAGAAAAAAAAGCAGCATTCTAATTTTCTAACTGCAGCGCGCATTTTCAGAGCGGCAGATTAAATAAACGCCCCCAATTAATATAGCGTTTGTAAATTTAATCTGCCGCTCTGAAAATGCGCTCTCCGTTAGAAAAAAACAGCAATGAATGCTGTATTTTTTTATTTTTTTACTGCAGAGCGAATTTATTCACAGAAAAATAGAATGCTGCCGTTTTCATGAGAATAAACTAATGGTTTCTGACATATCAAAGTGGACATAAAATGGCATATTAGAATAGGTGCACATGTTTCAATCAGCAGTTTGAGAATTCGTTTATATAGGAGCATTTATAAACCACACAGACCTTAACTGAGCTAACGGGTGCTGGTGCGTGAGAAGCAAGCAGGTGCTGCTGCGTTCAAGTGTTTCAGTTTTTTAATGAATTCGATTAAAAATAAAGGTGCCCAGCCCGGCCCGTGTCCGAGGTAATTACACAGTCATTGGCCCGAAGCCCAGCCCTCGGGCCGGGCCACCCCGAGGGCCTAGGGCTTCAGTGCAGGGCTCTAATCCAGATGGTCCAATGCTTGCTTTTGGTTCAAGACGTGTTATTGGTGGAGGGTTTTGGACAAATGCGAGAGATCAACTGTATTAATATTTTTTTTATCTCATTAATTTATTTTTAGCTATACTATGTTAGAATGTGGTTAAGAAGCATGAAAAAAAAGTTTTAGGCTAATTTCTTTTCCAAATTTGTCATTGCAGCTTTAAAAGGCAGTTTGTGGTGTTATGTCTATAACTTGTTAACTTTTGAAGTCAACCGCATTTAAGACCACAGCTCTGCATTAAAAAGCATCAAAATCGCTACAACTCTATTCTACAGACATTGACTTTAATATTTCATGTAACTGAGTACTCCAAGCTATAATGGTGTGGACCTTAATTTTTTAGCTCAAACGCGTTTCTTATTTTCTAATTTTGACGATCTTAGTTGGACACAGAATTCTTTTTATTTTAAGTTTTTTTATGGGGCTTTGCACAAATTCTGATAATTAACCAGAAAATACCAGTATGGACAGTTCTTTGGGCCAGGCAATGTTCAAATTCAAATGTGGAGCAGTGTGTTCCAGCTCACCTTGCCCCGATCAAAGTTCTGGATGATGGTGAGGTGCAGAAACTCTTTTCTTTGCCACTCGCTCTGCATGGGGTAGTTGAGGAACTCTCGGAGCGGCCTGTCAGACCACTCCAGCAGCTCGTCATACAGCAGCAGGGTGTACGACGCCTCTGGGACACCCACAAACACAACACAGAGTAAGTACGTGGGACTGGCGATGCAGCGGCTGTGGTTTTTAAAGTTTCCCACTCAGAAAAAACACACTGGCAGCTGAGAGAACAGATTTAGAACAGATAAAAGGCTGCGGCAGGACACTTGTGTGTTTCACCACAGTGACTCAGCAGTAAAACACGTCCAGTCCTCTGGGCGTACCCGTGTAGTTTTGTGCTTTCAAGTGCAGGTCGTACAGTTTGTGGATGTAACGGATGTACATTTCCTCTTTGTTCAGCTCGGTTTTGTAGAAATTCTGATGGAAACAAAATAAAAGAAGAGGAAGAGATAAGAATTAGAGTGAATTTTAAGAGTAGTCTACACTCAGACACAGAGGTATGTAATTAGATAAGAAAAAACCTCCAATTAACAGGGAGAATGCTCATAAATACCACTAATTAAATTGCTGTATAAGCAGCACTTGAACATATTTTTATGAATAGAACAAGTGCTCAATTTGGTTTTCATTTGCACAAAAGACCAAATTAGTGTAAAAATGAACAAAACTACTGGTTTAAAAATAAATTCATGATTTTAAATATTTAAAGGTGATTGCTCAGTTTGCAGTAGACTGGTGTTATTTCCATTTATTTCATTGCTTGTTTTACTTGACAAACTGATTTTGTCTTTGTTTTGTTTTTTTACAAATATTTTAAAAGAAAGTACTTCTGAAAAATGAAGATTCCATTAATCAAAGGTGCACACAAGAAAACTATCATTCAGATGAACAAAGATGCATTCAAAGAATCAGTCATAATTAATTCAAGTTTTAACATCTGAAAACATTTTTACAGCCTTGTTTAAATAGTTTGCCTCTGCGAGCTCGTTTTCCTTGTAACTGCTCACCCAACTGCACCACCTAGTGGCTGGCTGCAGTTTAACACATTTCATGTCTATGTAATCCAAAGGTGTCCAAACGTTTTGCCTCACAGGCCCAAACTATCAAAGACAAATATTAACATTGAATGAAACAATGAAAAACAAAAATTATTTACTGTCATCAACTAAAATGTAAACATAAGAGTTTAAGTACTCTATTTACTGCGCAGAAAGGATGTGTAAATCTCTGTGGATGTAAAACAATAAAATTCGAACAGGTTTGACTTCTTAAATGAAAAACACTCGATTTGTTGGATAAATTCTATGAATATCTATAAATATGGCCATGCTTGAAAATGAATTAAAAATGATTCCCTTACATAATTGCAATAATAGGAACAGTATTTCTACATTAATAATTTTCTTCCACCCTCATTGTCCCAAATAAATTGATTTTGCATTAAATAATCGATTTTTCTTTAATGTGAAAAACATTTTTTTCATATTTATTAGTATTTTAGTATTTAGTATTTGTAAAAATCTATTTCCTAATTCATTTATTTTTAAAGGGTCCATCTGAATTAACCATCTATATTTGGGTCAACATTCTAGCAGTTTTGATTAGTCTGGCCTAGATGCCCATGACCCCAGATGTAAACAAATGCATCAAATTAAAAAGAAAAAAATAACTAAAAAAGCTGAGATTATTATTTTTGTTGACTCCTGTGGGGTAAGGGCTCAAATGACGTTACAGATCTAAGCTTCCATTACGAATATTAGTCAGGACAACTGCAAATCAGGAGTTAAATCTCAATTTTCAAAAGCAAAAGTTTAATTAAATGGAATCAAAAGAACTTTTGACCTGAGCCAAGTTTCCTTTGAATGAATTAGCATGTAGCCTTGGTTAGCCTCATCTCTGCTCCCTCATTTCTGTTCTCATGTTTTTAGGAGTTATAACATCTTGCATCAATGTCCATTTACCTCTAATCTGCTTATGATGCATTTAAGGGACATCTGGAATTTACAGCTACTAAAAAAAAAGAAAAGTAGCTCACCAGTAAACTGACTGTGCATCCAATCTTTTTCCCGTCCACTTCCTGCAACTTCATACAATCCCTGCAGAACAAATGTGAACAACTATTTTAAAATAATAACTGATGGATGAATCAGGCTTGTGCATTTATGAGAGTGTGACCTCTGACCTGTAGTCCAGCAACCTCTCCATCAGGCGAGTGACGGTTGCGATCAGAGAGATCCCACTCTCCCTCCACGTCTCCCGCTCGATCTTCTTCAGGAGGCTGGAGGAAAAGAGACAAAAAGAGACATGTGAGGAACCAGGGACACTAGAGAGAGAAAGGAAATGAGAAAAGAAGATGTGATGGAGGAAGAAAAAAGAGGAAATTAATCTCAGTCATGCCAGTGTCACCTATGCTTGTTAGTTTTCCTGCCGGAGATCAAATGAGAACTTTGCCATTGGTTTTTTGTTAACTTGAGCATAAGAGGACAAACGAGCCAAATTATCATGGCTTCTTATTTTATGATATTTTTCTGTTTCACACAGATGACACAAAGAGCAAAGAGGAGAGTGTCTTACCTAGGGTATGGACCAAACAGAGGAATTCTACTCCAGGCGGGAAGCATAGGCAGAATAAATTAATACCAACATGATTAAAATCAGCACACACTCACACAAGCTAGTTTACGGGTTAGTTGGTGAAGCTGGTGGGTGGCACAATCAAAATATGCTGGGTTTTTATAATTATTTGCAGCTGCAACACAAAACAGTCACTCAAGATTCAAAACAATAATAATCACCAGTAAATAAATACAAAATACTGACTATAAACATCTTGTTTTGGCAGTAATTTTACATCTCATATGAAAATGTAACAGGAATGTGTATGATGGCAGGTTTACTAATGCAGACGCAACTTTGATTGACATCTACAAGGAGACAAATGAAGAGTTGCATCACTGGGAATAATAATGTTTCTGGACAGATTTCATGTGTGTATAGTATTTTTAAGTCCTAATATTAGTTGCCCAGGTTTGATGGTGATTTAAGAACATAGAAAAATCCCAAACAGCACACACATACAAGCACACATGCACACACACACACACACACACACACACACACACACACACACACACACACACACACACACACACAGGCATACAAAGCATGCAGCAAAACAAACAGGAGACGGGATGGGATGAATAAGGAGGAGAAAGTGACCAAATTTCCACCACTTACCTGTCGTTATAAAAAGTTTCAATAAAGGAAAAATGTGGCATAATTAACCTCCTGAGACCTGGTGACTACATATATTAAAGAGCTCCAACCAGTCCATTATTTGCCGAGTTACAAATATTAAAATGTAATGATCTGGTTGATTACAGAATTCTAAGATTGATCTCTAAAGTTCATATAAAATGTTTACCAAGAAATTAACTACATTTGAAAAAAGTCTAAGTTGTTAGTATTTAAAAGGATGTGAGGTATTTTTAAAGCCAAGATTCAGGACCAATGTGTTGGAGAGATGTGTTTCTATAGTTTCCGATTCCTCCTCCTCACTCAGCATGGCTCTATTAAATACCCGCTCTGTTAACAATAAGTCTTTCCTGTTCAATGATTTAATTCTCTCTAAAAACCTGGATTTTCTGTTTCTGTCTGAAGTTTGGCAGCAAACATCTGATTATTCTGGTCTGATTGAACTTTACCCGAGTGGTTATTCTTTTCGTAGCCAGCCTCGGGGTTCTGGTCATGGTGGAGCTGCTGTTTTCAGAGACCATCTTCCATGTAGCTCTACAACCTCTGGTCACTTTGCTTCCTTTGAACTGCAGCTGGTTAAAGTCGGGCGTAAGAACCCGTTCTACTGTGCTGTGGTTTATCGTCCACCTGGTCCAAACAGTTCTTTCCTTCAGGAGTTTAGTGACTTTCTATCCTCCACTGTGAAGCTGTCCAGACTGGTGATCGTTGGTGATTTTAAAATCCACAATGATGATCCCTCTGATCACTTTGCCATGAATTTCTCCAGCCTTATGGACACCTTCGGCTTTACCCAGCATGTTTCTGGCCCCACACACACCAGGGGGCACACTCTAGACCTTGTTTTTACCCTGAGTCTAAATGCTGACAGTGTTTGTCCTGAGGACGTTTATATTTCAGATCACCATTGCATTTTCTTTAACTTGTCAGTTTCTGCGTCCCCACCTCTTGCTCGCCGTCTGGTTAGTTCTCGTTATCTTAATGAGAGCACAGCTAGCAATTTTTCTGCTGCTTTTGATCCACCCTGTTCTTCTGATAACGACCCAGATTCCTTAACTTCTCAGTTAAACGAGCACTGCCTCTCCATTCTGGACAACATCTGTCCGTCAGAACCAGATCAGTTCCTGCAGTGAACCCTACTCCCTGGTTTAATGACAGCCTACACAGCCTGAAGCGCCAATGCAGAAAAATTGAGCGCTTGTGGAAGAAACCCCATCTCCACGTCCATCTGCTGCACCTAAAGGATCTTCTGACATCCTTTAACTCTGCAGTCAGAGACACTAGGGTTTCCTATTTCTCCAACCTGGTGTCCCAGAGCAAAGGGAACCCCAAGGTGCTGTTTAACACCATCAGCAGCATCGTCTCTCCTGCCTTTCCTACAGCCTCCATCCACTCTGTTGCAGACTGTGAGAACTTTCTGTCTTTCTTTGTGGACAAAGTCAATAAGGTTAGATCTAGCATCTCTCCTTCAGCCTTATCGCCGCCTCTCCCGACTCCAACCAGGCCCATCAACCTAGACAGCTTTGCTCCTGTTTCTTTGCCTGAGTTAACCAAATTAGTTAACTCTATGAAGACCTCTGCATGCCCCCTCAACATCTTACCCTCATCTTTGTTTAAAAGTGCTTTTCAGTCCATCGGTCCCAGCGTGCTCTCTATAATTAATGCTTCTCTGGTTTCTGGTCAGGTCCCTGCTTACTTTAAGAATGCTGTAATCCACCCGCTTCTTAAAAAACCGAGTCTAGACCCCTCTCTCCATAGCAGCTTCAGACCCATCTCTAAACTTCCGTTCATCTCCAAGATCTTGGAAAAGGTTGTGGCTAAACAACTCACAGCTGCTCTTGATGAACATAGCATCTATGATAGCTTCCAGTCAGGTTTTCGTAGAGCTCATTCTACTGAAACAGCTCTTCTTAGGGTCTCTAATGACCTTCAGACTCACAGTGATGCAGGGGACTGTTCTGTTCTGGTCCTGCTGGACCTGACTGCAGCCTTTGACACTGTTGACCATCACCTGCTACTGGAGAGGCTGAGAGACTGGGTAAGCCTATCAGGATCTGCTCTGGAGTGGTTCTCCTCTTATCTTTCAGAGCGCTCCATTTCTGTGGCCGTCTCCAGGTTTAGGTCCTCCACCACCTCCCTTACCCATGGTGTCCCACAAGATTCTGTGCTGGGGCCTCTGCTCTTCCTCCTCCATCTGCTTCCTCTTCAGCACATCCTGAGTTCCTTCAAAGAAATTTACTACCATCTTTATGCAGATGACATCCAACTGTACATCTCCTTTAAGCCCCATGAGATGTCTAAGCTGCAGCTGTTACACACCTGCTTAGACTCTATCAAAACCTGAATGGCTGGGAGCTTTCTTCAGCTGAATGAAGACAAGACTGAGATCCTCATATGTGGCCCAGACAAGCTGGTTCCCAAAGTCAGAGACTCTCTTGGTCAGCTTGCTTCTCACACCAAACCTTCTGTCAGGAATCTTGGCGTGACCTTTGACCCAGCTCTCACCCTGGATTCTCATGTCAGTTCTCTTGTTCGCTCTTCCTTCTTCCATCTCAGGAACATTGCTAAGCTGAGTCCCATTCTATCCCGCTCTGAACTTGAGACAGTTATCCACACCTTCATCTCCTCACGCTTAGACTACTGTAACTCTCTTTTCACGTGTCTGAGCAGAACCTCCCTGAACCGTCTACAGGTGGTTCAGAATGCCTGTGCTCGGCTTCTGACCAAGTCCTCCAAACACACCCACATCACCCCGCTTCTCCTCCAGCTTCACTGGCTGCCAGTCAAAGTCAGGGTTCATTTCAAGATCCTGGTTCTGGTCTATAGGGCCTTACATGGACAAGCACCATCTTACATTGGTGATCTTCTTAGTCCCTACACCCCCAGCAGGTCCCTGAGGTCCAGTGATCAAAGCCTACTGGTTGTGCAGCGCACCAGGCTGAAGACCAAAGGTGACAGATCATTTGCTGCTGTGGCCCCCAGACTCTGGAACTCTCTCCCCCTGAGCCTGAGATCAGTGGACTCAGTGGACTCCTTTAAAAAGCAGCTGAAAACCCACTTGTTCATGATGGCTTTTGTATGACCTTCTTCACCACTCTCTCTTTATTCTGCTCTCCCCACCTATTCCAGCTTCCTCAAGATCCACTGATTTCCCTCTTTCCTATTCACTCTCTCTTTCTTAACATTTTTTAATCACAATTGTCTATTTTTTGCTCATTTTAGATATATTATTAACCATTTTCTCAATTATTTTTTATATTTTTTACATTTTTTTGTTTTTGTGAAGCGCCTCATGATTTTTATCTTGAGAGGCGCTATAGAAATGATATTTTATTCTTCTTCATCATCTTCTGCGTATGAAGTCGGTTTTTGGAACAATCTGGAGTAAAACTTGAAGGCAACAAAATCAATTACAGTGCTTAAAAAGACTGTTAAAAACAATATGATAAGAAAATATAAATAATCTTGATTGGTTTTTCTCTTTTGTTTGGTTGTTTTTTGTCATTTGTTTCTTACTGTTTCACCCTGGATTGAAGTGCACGATGTTGCATGAACAGTAAAGGAAGTATTTGTTTGTAAATTATTGACATGTTAGTCTGCAGTTATCTTTCAGTTAAAATTATTAGTTAAACACATTCTATTTATTATTGATATTGCTGTGAGTGGCGCACATTATTTAGAAGCTTTTATTTTATCTGCTCCTTTTCATTCTGTTGATTGTAAGGTGTATTTGCTTGTTAATTTTTTTTTTTTAAAGAATGGAATGGAGAAATAAATCAAAGAAAAAGTGATCACTGACCTTTTTCCCTGTTACATTTCATTTTTAAAAAGTTTTTAATTTTGATTTTTTTACATTTTAGTTTCTTAAAGGTGTGGTTTACTCATATGTTCAATAGACATGCAGCCTAGAGTAAATAAATGCCTTATGAGTCATTAAAAAAAAAGCTATGATGCTCCTGTTCTGAGATGCAGATGTTTGCTGGTGCAGAGGTGGGCTGAAAACAGCAGGATTGCTCATTATTATTAATGACATGCACACACCTCACTTCTGATTGGCTAAGAGAATGTGGATGAGGCCATGAATGCTAATTCACAGTGTGACATCACAGTGTGAGGACGTTCAAATCCGAGCATTTCACCATCTATTTTCTACCAGAAGCTAAAGCAGGAGATAGGTGTAGAAGACTATTTCCATGTTCACGCTGCATGAAAATCTCAGAGTGACCCATTATAATCAGAAATAATCATTAAAAACAGTTTTTTTTTCAGTCAACCACACCTTTAATAATTATTGATTATTTTTGCTCAAAATGATGTTTGCTTTTATGTTTCTGAGGTATTACACATCCAGATTAAAAATTGCACACCAAATAAAATCTCAGGTCTTCAGATGTTAAAAGACACAGATCTGATTTTAAATTGAAAAGTAAAGCAGACTTGACCTTTTTAGTTTTTGTTGCTTTAATCTCTTCTAAACCTGAAAACTCAATCCTGTTTTCCCCTTTCAGGAACAAACCACTTCCCGTTTCTGACTTCCTCCACTCACATGCTGTTGAAGAGCTCCCTGTAGGTCTCGTCTCCTTTGCCCTCAGACATCAGGCTGTCCAGCTTGTCGATTAGCTTGGCTTCCACCTGCGGCCAAGAAGGATTTTAAAAACACCCATTGATTCAGTTACACATAAAAAGTAAAGACAGTGGTTGTTTCTCAGTCTAAAGTACACTTTTATGCTCTTGTGTCCTTGAAAAGTGAGACCTTGGTAAGTTCATCATAAAGTTGGGAGGAGAACGAGGAATGAATCTGTAACAGAACCTTACTGCGTTATGTCATCAGCGCTGCTTTATGCTACGGTTAAACAAACAATTTTAAATTAAAATAAGTCTAGTTAGTCCTCTGAATAAATAAATAACAATGAATAAAATGGATTTGTATAATACTTGGTTAATTTCTTTACCAAAATGTATTATATTTCATCAAAATAAGAGCTTTAGGCTACGCTGCTTCTATTTTGATAGTGTGTTAGCCAGTTAGCATCCACCCTGGGACTGGGAGATGGGGGTTAAAAACCCAGTTGGGTCATACCAAAGACTTTAAAAATGGGACCCGATGCCTCCCTGATTGATATTCACTTTAAGGGGTTGGTTTGGGGGTTAAATCACCAAATAGTTCCTGAGCGTGGCCAGTGTTGCAGCTCACCGCTCCCCATGGGGATAGGTTAAATGTGGAGATGAACTTCATCAGGGTGTGATGACTAATGGGACTTTGACTTTGAAGAGTAGGGGAAAATATACACAGCTAATTTTTACAGGTTACACACAAGTATCTGCAATAACAGACACTTTCATATGTATTTATTTTGACTTATTTATTTGTGATAATAGAACACTACATTTATGAGCTTCTCCATTCGGGGTATGATGGATTGCAACGCGTTATGAGCTACCTTGCTTGCCCAAGTCCTCGATGCATTCTCGATATACTGGGCGGAGAAAGAACACATTCAGGACCTTTGGGGGTCCTTGCCATGATGTGTACTTAGGATTTGAACAGTACTTGGGCCTTTGTCTCACAAGACGGATGTGAGTACAAGAGTACAGATTCAGACGAGTATGTGTATTGAGAAACGGGTGATGTGTCAGTATCAGTTTGAGAAAAATTATTCATTTTTTTATGTAATTTACAAATTTGTACATTCCTGTGCCAACAATCATCAGTTCAACTCGTTCACTATTAACGGTCAACTCTGGTGTGCCTGTTTGAGGGTGTAGAACTCAGTTGTGTGAGAAAGTAAATTATAAATGATAAATGACCCGCACTTGTATAGCGCCTCTCAGAGTAAGGACTCCAAAGCGCTTTACACTACAGTGTATCATTCATCCATTCACACATCCATTCACACACACATTCACACATTGATGGTGATGAGCTACGATGTGGCCACAGCAGCCCTAGGGCGCACTGACAGAGGCGAGGCTGCCGAGTACAGGCGCCACCGGTCCCTCCGACCACCACCAGGTGGCAAGATGGGTTGTGTCTTGCCCAAGGACACAACAGCAGAATTCTCTGTCCGGAGCCGGGATCGAACCTGCAACCTTCCCATTAATGGACAACCTGCTCAACCTGTTGAGCTACTGCTGCCCCAAGTGGCTGCAGACGACAGGATTTTAGTTCTTATTTCCTGATATTTGGACATTTCACCCCTAATTGGCTAACAGCAACACAACTATACCACTGACTTTGTTTACTTAGCAAGATTGATGTTTTATCTCCACAAATAACACAAGCCTGGAGGAGTTCTACCATGTGGTGGGGTTGCTAATGCTAACAGTTTGCTTCTACCAGCTGAGATGTTCTCTGCTCTTTCCTGGACGCCTTCCCTGATGTGAGTGAAAATGGATGAGTCCATGAATGTTAAGTGACAGTGTGACGTAGATCTGTCTGGCTTTTCTGAATAGAGCGTTTTTCTGTCCATAATATCAGAAGGTTTGAAGACCAGCTTCACATTCAGCCTGCATGTTAAAATCAAAGCGACTGATCATTTAAAAAATAATGAGTAAAAAGCAGTTTCTCAGTGAACTTGCTCTTTAAAAAGCTGCTTTCTTCATGGTATAATTTAATATTGGTGTTTGTGTGAAGGGTCGGGGGTCGCCACAGGAAAAAATGCTTCAAGAGTGTTGATGAGGTTCACTTTTAGGAGATGATAAGGATCTGACAGGAGCCTACCTGCTTAAAATTCCCACTGCGTCTCTGCTCCCAGTCCATCATGTCATGGAAGATGGGGATCATGACATTCCTCAGATCTGGCTGAGGCACCAGGGTCACCTCCAGGAAGGGTCCAATCATTGCTGGAATAAAGTTCAACTTGTGCTCCCCTGGAGGAAAGACACAGGTCAGGGTGGAGGTAAGAGATCTAAGTTATCTCTGAACGCAGCCATGTGTTTATATCAGAGGAGTCTTCATCGCTGCTCTTCTCTGGCTGGACTCGTTAATGTGGCCCAGCGAATTCGTTCATCTGCTAAATTCTCTCTGATCTGGTGTAAAAATTTGATAGACATTTGATTTATTCTCTAAAAAACACTAAACTCTTTGTAGATGGGACTTAATTTGAAGATATCAGGTTTAAAAAAAATCATCCATCAGAGGCTTTGAGCAGAACAAAGGCACTAAGGTGAAGCACCTGTCTAGTTGCCATGGTGACAGAAAATGTGGATACAAAAAAGAAAAAGCTTTCTTTCGGATACCATTATCTTAAAAGATAAAAAGTGGAACGTTTTTCGACTTCTTTGTGATTTCGGAAGGTTGCAAAGTTTAATGAATGTACATTTTTATATAGCAGTAACAATAAATAAACAAACAAACAAACAAATAAATAAATAAATAAAGGTCTTCTTTCTAATTTTCCAGTCAGGATTGAAATGCATTGGTGTAATGAACTGACCTAAATTTTGCCACATGCTGAAGATTTCACAGCCCATCATCACCCTCATGTCTCCATATCTGCATGAAAAAACAACACAACTCGCCAGTTAAAGTGTCTAGTGCTGCTTCTTAAACAGATGCCTCATTGAAGAAACACTCTGCATGCCTATGATTTATAAATGCGTGTAGAAATAATCTGAGAATGTGCACTCATCTGCATTAAAACATACTTTTCCAGTATTTTCTTCCTCTTGGAGGGAGAGAAGGATTCCAGTTGGAGACAAGGCTGGTTGATGAATATTACAGAAAGATAGAAGTACGAGTCCCAAACCTGAAATCAGGAAATTTCAGGATTTCAAAATTCGTGAAACTTTGGATTTCATATTTTCTATGAAATAATCTGTTCTTTTGTGTGATTTTGCAGTTGTTTCCACTTCTGGGGCTCAGATGGACATGTTCCTACCTTATAATCAAACTTGTCATTGAGGAAGTTTTTTCTCAGAGCATCAGAAAGGTAGAGGACAGTAGTGATGATTACACTGGAAGACAGAAACAGAGGACCAATGGAGTGAGACAGCTGAAAAATCAGCCACACAAGGTTCAATTATCACTGGAAACTGGATTTCTTCACTTCTCGTCATTTTCTTGATTCCAACTGGAAAAAGCATGCCTGCTGAAGCAACATCATAGTGAACCTACTACACAGCAATGCCCTCAGACAATAACTGGTTCGTCCACAGGACAAGATGTCCACAAGGTTCATCGTCTTACTTATTAGTAACCAGCCGCATGACTGTCCAGTCTTTAGGAAACATCTCCGGTCTGATTAGGATTCTGAAAACAGTGAAGATATGAAGAAGGAAGTCCTGCAAAAGGAACAGAAGAACAGTCATTAAACTAGGACTATGTTATCTGTGACTTTAAATTCCTGATTAATAATATAATCACTTTTTAAAACAATAATAAACTGCAACATGGGATAGAAGCTGAGTCAGGCATAGTTAAATTTATGCAGGAATGATGGGCAGACGGATGTGGTGGTCTCACCCTCAGATCGTCTTTGTTGCTGAACGCCTGCAGCAGCTTCTGGTAGTGCTTGTCACTCATCTGTCGAAGCAGCACCAACAAACATGCCACAAACTCTCCCTGACAGATCAGACAACACAGAAAACAAACCGTTTTAATACCTTTAAAGCTGCGATTCATTATTAGAATTAAAACATTTCTATAGGAGGGAATCAAGTAAAGCTGAATCTGACTAATAGAAACACACATTTTCTTTATTTTAAACCTTTATTTGCTTAAACAGTTAAAGGGCACACGTGCCAGGAGGAACCAAGAAGTAAAACCCTCCACTGATGATGATGTCATTACTACCCTCGTCACTCGCTCCCTTCTGTTCTCCATCGATCTTAATCTTAATTATTTCTGTTAACTTTATTAATCAGAGTGGACTGAAAGCTGCCACTGCTGCTGCTCAATCCCAAATCCCTAATTACTTTTGTTTATTGTGTGAAATCTTGCAACAGGCGCACACAAACACACACACACACACACACATACAGTGACATCTTGGAACTGTAGTCTCATGGTGGGTCCAGCAGGCTGAGGCCGGTTGCTGATTTCCAGAATGGTCCTCAGTAAAACTCCCAGCAGACTTTCCACAATCAGCTCCACTTCCTCAGAAACCGTGGGGTCCTGAAACACAAATTAGGACCCGACTTATGAGGAACAGTTTTAGCTTTCAGTTAAGAAAAAGGTTTGCAAGCTGCAGTTCTGGAGCTCCATGTGGCTCGTAAGTCTACGGGGCGTTTGGAGTTCTGTACACAGGTGCAACTAAAATCAGTGGATGTGCTAATTAGTGTAGATGCTAATTATGTTATGCAACTTTCTAACTAACCCCGGGTTTCCACGGGAGCCGTCAGCAGCACGTTACTGCAGCAGCACGTCTTGCTCGCGTAAGCTGCTGCTTGGCCCTCCCCACGAGACACGAAGCAGCAGGGGAGCAGCTGTCACCGACCGAGCACGAAGTCACACGAGTGACTTCGTCAGTAAACACAACAACAAGCAGGAGAAAACTACAACATGGTTTGTGTTTTATGTTCTGTCCGTTTTATAATCGCCAATACGGACCTGAAAAACAAAGGAGACCGCTAGCTAGGTGATAACTTCTCACGGGGCCGCACAGTTAGTAACCTTTTTTAAAAGTAAAGCAACCGGAAGGCAGTACGTTCTTTATTCTGAAAATCTCGGTAGCTTCTCTCCATTTCCGCGTCCGATTTCCTGTCTTTCCTTCCCCAAAAATGTCGAACTTGACCCGTTTCAGAGGCGTCGCGCGTAGAAAATAGAACCGGCGCGTAAAGGCCGCGACATGCTTCTCCTGAGACGCGGCCGAATCGCGCTGCTGACGGCTCCAGTGGAAAAGGTTCTGTTGACCACAGCGGTTCCTATCAGCAGCTATGACGTGCTGCTGCAGTAACGTGCTGCTGACGGCTCCTGTGGAAAGCCGGGGTTACTCTCTATGCATTAGTAAATGTAATTAAGCCAAAATGCAGTTTTACTCATCTATTTGCAAAAGATCCAAAAAACATGTAAAAAATAAATGGTAATAAAAGCATCAGTTTTTTTTTTTTTTTTTTTTTTGCAAAAAATAGAAAAAGATACAATTGCTTGCTTCTAATAAAAATCTGGTGTTATGAAGATTGTATGTACATGAATGCTTTAGCTTTTTGAGGAGACTTCAGTCCAAAATATCCAATAATCTAAGGTATAGACAACTTTCATGTACATTTCTCCACACGGAGCTGATGAAGATGACTAATTTCCATAAGCGGCAGCTGTCACATGATTAAGATGCCAAAATAGCACAATAAAAAAATTAATAAATAAATGCTGAGGCGCTCATCTCTGTGTTTGTGTTCTAAAAAAATGCCCATCTCTTTGTTTTAACTAATTTCTAATGGATGTAGGAAAATGTGCGCGTAGATAAAACACTGAACAAAAATATAAATGCAACACTTTTGTTTTTGCTCCCATTTTTCATGAGCTGAACTCAAATACCGGAAAATGTATCTACATACAAAAAACGCCCATGAGTCTCCAATATTGTTGTGAAATCTGCCTAAGTGTATTAGTGAGCACTTTTCCTTTACCACGATAATCCATCCCACCTCACAGGTGTGGCACATCAAGGAGCTGATTAGACCGCATGAATAATGTACAGGCAAATTATATAATCTCTAATCTTAATTTTAAGGGTTGGTTTGAGTTGATGGCTCCAAACTACATTATTAAACTAGATGATAAAAATGTCTCTTTCAAACATTCATGAGGTAAAAGAAACACATAAATAATGCAAATACTTTAGGAAGTTTTGGAATAATTTGCATGCTGAGATTTTCCAGCCAGCACATGCTTAAACCCCAGTCAGAACTAAAACCAAAGTCTGGGATCACTTTGTTCTCATCATAGTTTAAAATATCTTGAGCCAGAAACAGAATGAAGTTTCAAGGCTAACTGTGGCGGCTACAGTTCACAGAAAAAGAAAGAAGGGGACAAAAAGGAGAAAGAAATGCTGAAAGATTTAAAAATCAGCTAAAGGAAAGTGGTGTGTGTGTGTCCCTTTTTGGCACCTTTACCATTAGATGTCTGTCTGGCAGCAAATAGCATTATCCAGAAAACCTCGGCTCCAAAACACACACACACACACACACACACACACACACACACACACACACACACACACACACACACACACACACAAAGCTCAAAGTCACTTTGACAGTCCCCTTTGCTAAATTGATGAGCCTCATTAGTGAGCTGCACACCTGCCAATGTCTGTGTCACTGCTGCTAATTGACAATATACAGCAAACAGCCATGTTTTACTGGTGAAACTGCTGTCAGAATCATTCTAACAGCGACACATAAACGATTACAGCAATGTTGGTATTTTTGTGAAAACAGATCAAATTCATCGCAACAACACAGCCGGAGACGGTAAATAGTGTAATCCGATCTCACCACAGTGCCATTTTCCTCCTTCCTAATGAGGGACAGCATGCTAGTAAGGATGCGAGCACACATGACCAGGTCTCTCTGCTCCTGCAGGTGAATCTGCAGTACTTGGAGCACCACAGGTAGCAGGATGCACCGCGACTCTGCAGAAGAAACCCAAGACTTAGATCCACGTAAACCAGTTCCAACCCCTCTGCACCCTTTTTGTTTGAAGCTGTAATTTTTGCACACCTTTAATGTGAATTTGACATTACCTGGGTTGACATAAAGCTGGCTTTCCACCGTCTTAGCAATGCACTGCAGTTTGACGGCGTCCAGCGGACTGTCGGCCTGGACGACGGAAGGCAGGCTGGCCAGCGTCTCCCTGACAAAACCGGCCACCTCCCGCACCGTGAAGATCTTCAGCAGCTCGTTGTAGGTCGTGGGGAACATTCGCAGGAACACCGCCTGAGCAGAGAAGGGACACAGAGGCTAAACGGAACCACCCATTATCATCAAAGTTGTTTAAATCATCCCTTTGTGTCAATGCGGCCAAAAAGCCTTCAAGCTAGAAATTAAGACTACAAAGAGCATTATAGGATGTGAATACGCAAGTATATTGTGCGCTGGCGATTTCTCTGAACATCTTTCACTAAATCTGCACCGCATAATGTAAAGTTAATATCGTAAAGAGGCTCAGCTGTCAGAATGATGTTGGACTCAATGGAGGAGCTTGGCAGTGATAAATGGAAGGCTCTTCAGGCAGTTGGGAGTTTGTTAAGCTCTGTTCTGTGGTGTTGCATCACAAGAAAGAGGCTCACATATCAGACACAGAGACGTGTTTATGAAGCGATGACACAAACAAAAGCTTAAATGCATTTGTGAGTCCAAATCACTGGCAGGGCTGGATTTGGTTGGAACTCCAGCAGTTGGAGATTACATGGATTAAACGGAGGGACTACTAGGATTGTTTTCCATCACTTGCTGGCTATCGGTTGGCTTTTCTTTCTTTCTCACAGGTTTGGTCGTCTCTTCGTTTGATGTCGATTCTCCAGGAGAGCCTGATAGAAGAAGCCTCATTTTAACCTTCAAACGGAACATAATGACTTATCCGACGCATTTCTACAGGGATCAGGTAAAGGTACAGAAATGTCCCCCAGCCTGTTTATAACCAGGGGTTGTCCCATATAGATGTCCTGACTCCAGCAGCATCCTGTCCACATCAGCGTCGACAACTTAGTAACGTTGTTCTTGTATTGTGATCCTTCTAGCAACTCAAAAAAGTGACTAGCAACAAGAAATCTAAAGAAATTAGCATTGATGAGTTTAGGCAGCTGCTAATCCCACCAGGGTCTGTTCATGCCTGGTGACCCCGGAACCTTTGCAGACGTCTGTGTTATTATTATTATTTTTTTAGGCATTTCAACACATCCTTACTTTTCTATAAAACTACATTTTATGTTGTCACACTAGCACTGCAACCCAGCTGTGTTAACTATGAGCGTATCCAACTGTGGTTAATAATTGTCTAAATATTTCTCCTGACAAATAAAATAAAGTTATATAAAAAATAATGGAGTGAATTAAATAAGAGAATAGTTCCAACTCTCAGTGGACTCCCGTGAAGCTTAACTAACGGGTTTCTATTGAATAAATTACAAATTGGACCTCAGTGTTTGTAACGTGAAGCCAATAGACATGATCTAATAGCTGATAGCTAAACTTTTCAAGAACACTTATGTTCTGGGCTAAGGGCACACCGGTGCTAATCAGAGCAACCAAACATGGAGTTTCAAGTAATTCTCTCATCCAACTCTGCACAACTCACGATTTCTCAGCTTATGACAAAAATTAAGTTGGCAGCTTCTCAGTCTTTGACTGAAATCAGTAATAGCTGCACTGATGCTTAGCGTATGAAACCAACGAGGATGAACGCAGATCTGATGGCAGGAGTGTGTGCAGCACCTCTGTTTCCAGGGACTTGATGAATGTCTAGATTTTAGCAAAAAGTTATAGGAAAACACTTCAGTGAAGCATTTGATAGAAAGATTTTGTTTGTATTAATTTAAAGTATATAAAATTGCTCCTCTGCTATTCTAAGGACTCCCCCTAATTATGCAAACCAATACTGACCACTCATGATTACACAACACACGCCCTATAAATGCATTAATGTACCAACTCTAATATATAACCAAGTTCTTAAACCTCTGTGTCTATGTGAGAAAGTGAAATGTCAATGTATGCTGGCAAGTGTGGGTGTGTGTGTGTATGTACATGTACCAGATTAACTGGGATTAACAATGGCCTGACCTGCATCCTCCCACAGCTATTGTTGTGCTGGGAATAAAGATTAATCCAGGTCGGAAGTCAATGGAGGGATGAAACAAAGCCTTTCAGGCTGACAGAGAGGCACAAGTGGAGTATCTGAAGCTGCACCAGTAATGTGTGATTCTGAAGCTGGCAGAAAGCCGTGACTAGAGACTCAGGGACCAGATTGTTAGTTTCAGCAGGTCTGACAGGTGGTGGGTATGATAACTCCTTATAACTGCTGATCAGAGCAGAGAAAACAAAGGATCGAGCCCAAACATTCATTTCCTGACAAGAGTACTGAGCTACACAACCTCACACGCATTTGTTCCCCGTGTGTAATTAGGATTATCTTTCGCATCTTTAGCCCGCTTGTTTGGGATGAAATCAGTGAAAGCAGCAGTCCCGCTGCGCAGACCTCCCACTGGAGAAGGAAAATTCCTACTCCCAACTCCATGTCCCTCTGGCAGCATGAAATTCAATCACAGCCAGATTCTTCCCCATCACAACTGCATTAACAGGGTTTCTCTGCAAAGAAAACAAGATGTGGGAACCCGTTCATGCTCATACACACACACACCTGCGTCTGTGCAACAGGGCTGGTGCCGTTGTTCTCCTGGGAAAGGAAGAAGCGGATGGACATGAAGAGCTCATGGATGCAGACTCTGAACTCCTCCTCATTCTGGCCTCCAGTGGCCAATGAGAAGAGCCGCCGAGACTGGATGATGTACTTGAAGATGTACTCGCTGGCCTGGAGAACAGGAGGAGAGACCCGTTAAAACCTGTTAAGTGAGTGGGAAGACAGGCTACATTCACTTGCAGTAAAATCAGTCAAAGAAGAAGGAAATATTCATTTCCCCAGCGCAAAAAACCTGAAAAATGACTTTAGGATTTCTGTAAATAACCAAATAGCACATCATTTAATTAAGATTAAAGAAAACACTTTAAACTATAATAAATTCTCCGAAAAGAATTAAGTAGCTTTATGGCATTTTGTTGGTGCCATAATGTATCCAAATGATTGTACTATATCATATTGTATTGTATTATATTTGACCATGTATTGTAGGGTATCGTTGAGCATCACCAGTAGGCCGAGTGTACCAGATAATTTTCTGTTGTAGTTTTGAATCAAAATGCCACAAATCACATTAAACCTGATATATGACATTTTCCCATATACTATGGTATCAAATAGTACTTTTTAGTATTATTGTACTGTATCACAGGCTGATAATAAATCTAAGACTGGAGTGTAAAAGGAAGAGGAATACACTTTATGGAATAATACTGTAATTTGTGTAATTACAGAGTATTCTATAATACTGTATAGCACAGTATACTTAAAAGTACATTGTACATGATTTGTGTCATGCTGTACAGAACAATATACTATGATATTGTATAACAGTGTTTATGAGCCCCCTGCTTTCCACTGGATGCGTAATCATCGCAAAACAGCTGCAAAACGTGCTTTGCTGAAATTAGCCGCTGTTTTAGCGTACAGGTTCCAACGGCCGCGAAGCATCACGTCTGGACGTGTCCCAGTAGCATAAGGATACTTTACTTGCATCTATTTTCATGCACTATGCTTCCAGAAAATGTCAAGCTCAGCAGTTCAGATTGAGCCGGACAGGAAGTCAAACACAAAAGCTGTGTAAAACATCCGTAAACTTTCAAAATAAAATCCACTTGCAGATTTCCATTTGCTAAAGTACTGTAAAATACCGTAGTGATTGGTATCGTATTACACTGTATCATATGGTATGGATTACCTCTTTTTGGATCATAAAATATTACACTGTGTTGTACTGCACAGTACTTCTTTGTACTGTATCACATTGGACTGCATAGTATTGTGCAATTATATATGACAATTACATATTGTGTCATATTACATTGTGAGCTTTTGTATCATAAAAATACACTGCATTATATTGTATCATATATACAGGTATACAGTATCATAATATACCATATTGTCGTATTTTACATAGTTCTGTATTGTATCGATTATACTGTTTTATCTCATATTGTACCGTGATGTATCGTACTGTGTCATACTGAACCTGATGCTTGTGTTACAGATACTCGCCTGTCTTAAAGTACCAGCTACACATGTAAAAGTACTAAACTCAGTTTAAGACATACAGATTTTACAGATCACTAAAATGTAAAGTAACGACATAAATGATAAATGACCCGCACTTGTATAGCGCCTCTCAGAGTAAGGACTCCAAAGCGCTTTACACTACAGTGTATCATTCATTCATTCACACACACATTCACACACTGATGAGCTAGTAGGTGCAAATGTGCTTGTGGTGTTTCTCTTTCCTCCCTATTTATGCATAAGCCTGTATCTATCATTAGAATAAAGTGTGACCAGATTAAATATTCATGCAGAATAATAGTCAGAGGAAGGGTGGCATGATTAGTCACTGCAGATGGGGAGATCAATATGCGAAAGTGCCAGAGAGGGGAAATGGGTTTGTTTATTTGTCGATGTCATTTCGTGTGCGTAGAAATGTGGTCGATTGACTATGGAGACAAAAAATCTGGCTGTCTTTATGCGTGCCTCACCTTGAGCACCTGCTGGATGTGATCCTGATGCTCTGCATCAACAATGCGATCCATGTACCACTTCAGAACTTTGATCAGGTCCCTAAAGCACAGAGAGAGAGAGAGAGAGAGAGAGAGAGAGAGACTCAATGTCCCCATTTACATCTGGCTGCATCATTGATCTCACGGTTGGTGGTAGAAAAACCTGTAGATGAGGAAACGCTGTGTTTTAAAATGCAACACTTTCACACGCTGTGCAAATCGGTTTCAGATGACAGTGTTGCACTTATTTCATCAACAGACCAAAGCTTAATGCTGCAGTTAAGTAAGGCGTAATGATCTTAGGAGGATTAAGAATAATGAATGAAAAAGAGTCTTGCTGTTTCGGCTTCAAATTGCTTTCAGATTCTTCATCTTGGGTGTAGAAAAGTTTGAATTTAGTAACAAATGAAAAAGTTAATTAAGCTAAATTTCTAAACTGCAACACCAACTAACTAGTAAGAATTCACAATACAGCAAATAAATAAATAAATAAAAAACAGTTACTTGTTCGCAGTTTCTTCTAATTGACCTATACCATATTTGGTGCAAAATAAGGATAAGATGGCAAAGCTTCCCATGTTTAGTCTAACCAGCAAAGTTTACTCTATGGTTGTACTTGAAAATAGGCATTATAATCTGTTTTAATCCAGGTTTGTATTGTCAAATTAATTTTGGTATCTTAACCAGAAGTCTGCTAAAACATGAAGCTATTTGGTTTAATTCCCATATTTCCTATTAGTGAGACTTTGCTTCCTTTTAATACCCATCATAAATAGAGCCCAAGAGAAAATGCACTCGCAAACATCAAATAATATAAAAAATAAAAGTAAAACTGTCAAAATTTAAAAAAAGCACCACCAATGTCATTGTGGGTGTTCCCTGTTTTTGTCCTGCAGACTATGAACTTCAGCAGCTGCTGAGTTGCACGAAGACCTTAACCAACCAGGGTTCTCACATTCTTTCCAGTTGCTATGCATTTATGATATCCCAGCATCATCTACTGACTTACTGCTCTATTAGAGTTAAGATTTCAAGCTTTATCAACAACTGAAGCACTTTCATAACCACATGAAAAATCAAGCCCTTCTAAGCACCCATAACAACTCAGAGCTAAACACTGAGTGAAGAATTAAATAAGTGGCAGTGTAAAAATATACAATCCAACTGCTAATAAAAGAAGAAATTAAATTGGAATTTTTTAATATAACATCTTTAAAATCCATCCATCCGTCCATTTTCCGCCACTTATTCGGGGTCGGGTCACGGGTGCAGCAGCCTGAGCAGGGAGGCCCAGACTTCCCTCTCCCCAGCCACTTGGACGAGCTCCTCCGGGGTAATCCCAAGGCGTTCCCTGACCAGCCGTGAGACATAGCCTCTCCAGCGTGTCCTGGGTCTTCCTTTAGGCCTTCTCCCAGTTGGACATGCCTGGAAAACCTCACCAGGGAGGCGCCCTTACCTGATGCACGAGCCACCTCAACTGGCTCCTCTCGGAATGGAGGAGCAGCGGGTCTACTCCGAGCCCCTCCCGGATGACAGAGCTTCTCACTCCATCTCTAAGGGAGAGCCCAGCCACTCTGAGGAGAAAACTAATTTTGTCCGCTTGTACCACAATCTCGTTCTTTCGGTCACTACCCAACGCTCATGACCATAGGTGAGGGTAGGAACGTAGATCAACCGGTAAATCGAGAGCTTCACCTTCTGACTCAGCTCTCTCTTCACCACGACAGACCGGTACAACGCCCGCATCACTGCAGACGCAGCATCAATCCACCTATCGATCTCACGCTCCATCTTTCCCTCTCTCATGAACAAGACCCTGCGATACTCAAACTCCTCCACTTGAGGCAGGACCTCCTCCCTGACCCGGAGAAGGCATTCTACCCTTGAACTCAAGACCATGGTCTCAGATTTAGAGGCGCTGACTCTCATTCCAGCTGCTTCACACTCGGCTGAGAACCGCTTCAATTTTTAAAATAATTTAAATAAAAATGTTCATTCTGTGAAAAAGGTAGATGGTGAGTGTGTTTTTCTCTGTGTGTATTTTCGTTTAGAAGGAGAAATAAAAGGCTCAAAGACAAACACAATGTGTTATTTCTCCTTTGGGCAGCCAGGGGGCACCATGAGCTTTTAATTAACTCCTAAGAGTAACTCATATGAAAGGCTGAGCAGAGAGCTGCACCTGTTCTTGATGTACAATTTGTGAGAAATGCTCAGGTTGCTGCTGTAGCTCCATTTCAGATGAAAGCTAGAAGGTTCGTACCTGTAGGACAAAGCTCCAGCAAAGTGGCTCTCAATGTAGGTGTCCATGACCGGCTTGAAGTGCTGGAACTTGCTGTCCTGCAGAAGGTTGATGATGTGCACCTGGAGATCACAGTACACAAGTAATCCTTCAGCAGACGTCATCAGCCTTGAGATATAGTTTTACCCAAAAGGAGCTTTGTGATTTAAAAGCGTTTTAAACTATCGAGAAAATTATTTATTTATTCATATTTTTCCTTTTTTCTGAAGCGTCCAGCTTGTTAGACGGAGCTCAAAACCACAAAAACAGCAAACCTGATCCAAGCAGCAGCTCACCAGACATTTTTTCACCTCTGGCAAGACCAAGCTGTGAGGAAAGTTTGTTCACATCTCAGCGTGAAACACGGAGAACGTAGAGAAGGTGAAAGAAATCGATCTTTTTCTTCTGCTCGGTGCAGCGTGACATGGCTGAGATTGGTTCAGCAAACTATCAACCGTTACATCATTTCTTCTTCTCTTTTGGCACAAAGTATGTGAGCCGCTTCTAGACAGATTGGATCAGAGGGTGCTCGCCATGACCATGGGAATAGGAAAAAATAAGAAACAGACAAATGTACTCACCAGAGAATCAAACACTTTGAGCCCATATCGTTGGGAGCTTTCATCCAAAATGCCAAAGAGAGTGTCCAAGGTGTCCTGAAGAAACTAGAGGAACCAAAGTGACTTGTCAGGAAGATGAACTCACAAGTGGGAGCGAGTCAGAACTGGGAATGTGATTTGGGGTCTACCTTGACGATCTCTGAGCCATCGATTTCTTTTAGTTTCGAGAGGCTGTCGTTGATGCGTTCAGGGTGGGCTCGCCACTTCAACAGGTCCAACATATCACCTGAGCGAGAACAGAGAGGAAGAGGTGATGAGTGGAAAAAATTGTTGGTAAAGAAAAAAGGAGGACGAGAAGAGAGAAAAAATGCAAGTTGGTTCACAAAGAATGATTCACTTAAAGCCCCAAAACGCAACCGAATCCAAACAAATGAGGGAATCTGACGGAAAGTGTGGCGGGACTTTCCTGAGCCGGGCTCCCCAGACATTCGCTGAATAAAACATAAACCGTAAGAAGAAAGTCTTTCAATTGTCTCTGGAGTTTCTGAAGCGTGTCTCTTCACAACTGTTGGAGTAAAATTTGAGCCTCCATGTGTGCATCACTGCTTTTTCTCTAAAAACACACTTTTAGGAGATAATTTTCTTTAATTTCAATCATTTTTGGTAAATTTGATCTAATTTTTCAGACTTACAGGTCATTATAGAACAATCACACTGTTAGCAGACATGAGTAAATGACCCCTCCCTGTAAGATAGGACTGGTTTGGTGCATTTTCATTTCGTAAAAGCTTCTTAATGTTGCAAGTAAGTGACATTGTTGACCTCTATTCTCAAAAAATCCAGTCTACTTTGATTTTTAAGTTTTAGGATGGACATGAAGCAGCTGGGATGAGAATTACCTCCCTTTTAAATCTGAGACCCTGGTTTTGAGTCGGAAAACGGTAGACTGCCTTCTGCAGGCCAGAGACGAGGTCCTGCCTCAAGTGGAGGAGTTTAAGTTTCTTGGGGTCTTGTTCACGAGTGAGGGAAAACCACAAGATCGACAGGTGGATTGGTGCTACGTCTGCAGTGATGTAGGCGTTGGACTGGTCTGTCATGGTGAAGAGAGAGCTAAGCTGGAAGACGACCCTCTCGATTTACTGGTCGATCTACATTCCTATCCTCACCTATGGTCACGAGCTTTGGGCAGTGACCAAAAGGATGAGATTGCGGATACAAGCGGCTGAAATAAGCTTTCTCCACAAAGTGTCTGGGCTCTCCCCCTGAGCCTGAGATCAGTGGACTTGTTTAAAAAGCAGCTGAAAACTCACCTGATCAAGCCTTGGTGTGACCTTCATCACCCTCTCCTTGTTCTGCTCTCCCCACCTATTCAACCTCCCTCAGGATCCACTGATTTCCCTCTTTCCTATTCACTCTCTCTCTCTTTCTTAACATTTTTTTAATCACAACTGTCTATTTTTGCTCATTTTAAACATATTTTGAATCATTTTCTAAATTATTTTTATATTTTACATGTTTTGTTTTTGTGAAGTGCCTTGTGATTTTTATCTTGAGAGGCACTATAAAAAAAAGATCCTTTCTTCTTCTCTCTCTTAAGCCATTTTTACAAAACAATGCCGTCAATTTGCTGCAACGCCATGGCGGCATCAGGGAGCTTTAGGTGGTTTATAAGTGCAGACTGTGGCGGTAACGTTGCACAACCGTGTCCTTATTACAAAATCATTACGTAATGGCAATATAAAGGAGCTGCCATGGACTTCCGTTTAGCTTAGACATAAGTTGCTTTTTATTGCGATTGAAGCTGCACTGGTTACATTTTTTTAACAAGCCGCTCCTAAAGGTGTCCCTATCAGACCCCGAGCAGTCTCTGGTGACCTGAGCTCTAGCTCTAACGGAGCTCTGCATTGCTTCAGTTTAACATCTCAGCTGGTTCTGTTATCATTTTCTATACATTTGCCGGCCGGAGCTCGGAAGTAATTCCCCGTGATCATGACATCCTCTCTGTTGCGCCAACAGCCGACAATTAGCGCAATGTTATTACCCATCGAGGCAGAACGAATGACAGAAAATTCACACATCGCCATACCGGCATGCCATGTTCATAAGACACACTGTTGCGGTACGCCTCCCTGGTGAGGTTTTCCGGGCACGTCCAATCGGGAGAAGACACAAAGGAAGACCCACGACACGCTGGAGGGACTATGTATCTCGGCTGTCTTGGGAACGCCTTGGGATTCCCCCAAAAAGCTGGCCCAAGTTGCTGGGCAGAGGGAGGTCTGTGATTCTCTGCATAGGCTGCTGCCCCCGCAATCCGGCACGTATAAACGGACAATGGAAGGATGGATGGAATGCCAATGTCCTTGATGACTAATTATCTACACCTAAATAAAGATCAAAGCACATTGCCAAAGCCCTTCTTACTGGCTACATTGCTAAATATCAACAGGTTTACCGTTTTGCGTGAGCTTGGTGGAACACAGGAAACTGGTGATCCAGAAAGACTCCTTAGTGGCTTTGAGCGTCTGATTGTTGGAGGGAAGGTTGGCCTTGGAAAACGGCTGCTTCAGGTAGCGCAAACAGTCAGCGAAGCTGGTATTTTCTTCACACTGCAGAGACAAAATGTATGTTAATATATAATAGATGATGTGATGATATAGCAGCAGGAGCTGTGTGTTCTGTACCGCTAAGGCTGCTTCAGATCCAAAGCTAACACACAAGTCTGGACTGATTCTTCTGTGTCTATTTCAGGGCTGCACTGAAACTAGGCCATACCAGTTTCATTGAGCTTTTCAGCAGCACTCCATCTGGCACTACAATGAGCCTTCACCCCATTTAGCTCGAACCCGACCAAGGAAGTTGTCCTCGAAAATAGACAGGGATGGTTGTGCTAAACTGTGCATCCTGATAGAGACAAAGTCCAATAAAAACACAAGTTTTTTTGTTTTTCTAGACTGATAAAAACCCCTCCCTACCTATAAAATGTATGAATACCCTCCATGTCTATGTCTTCCACAGAGAAGGAGGTTTACGTACACGCCCTTTACTTGTGGTTGTGGTCTGCAATCATTGTGGATTACCCGGCATAGCTATGGCTTTGAGCTGAAGACACTCATTCTGTCTGTTTTGTTCTTTTAAAGCACCAAAACCCCTACATGTGTGAAAAGATCAGTGTGGAATAAATATTCCAAAAAGTAGGCATAATAATCCTGCAACAGCTACAGGTGCAAAAGCAAACAGGCTCTCTCTCTCTCTCCTGCTCCTAAATACAACCTCTACAATATGTATGTAAGGCATTACTCATTCTCCCGACAGCCTGTAAAGTAAATGTAAAGTGGTGTGTTTGTTGACTGGTGGCACCAAACTCAACAAAAATATGCACAGAGGAGATGATTCACATAATTATACGCATCTCCTTTCATCCCTCTGAACACCTGTGTGATCCAGAACAGTCTAATCAGTTAAGTCAGTCTTTAAGCTGCAGAAATAAATTATAGGATGAATATGTCCCCCATATAAACAAACAACTTTCCAGTCAAGGACACGATCCATTTGATTCCAAGTTGCTCAGGTGAAGGCTCAAGTTTGTTTTTTTTTTACCTTATGGATAATGAGCTCATGGGTGCCATCTGGCAGAGTCCTGCCATCTTCCTGCATCAGAGGAACAAAGGAGTAGCCGAACAGTTTCTTCTCTCCTTTGTCTTTAGCTGTCAAACAACAACAACACATGGGCATGACACCAAGACCAAAATAGGCAAGAACAGCCTGCAAGTAAACAACCGAAGCAAAGAACTTCAGCAGATCCAGTCAGTGCCAAATGAACTGTGTTTACCCATTGGTGTGTAGTAGTTCAAAGTTCAGTTCATACATTTTAAAACAAACTATTTTATTTATTAGTTCATCATTAAACATTTTTAGCTAAGTTCACTGTTTCAACAAACAAACTAAATAATACTTTTTGTGTGTATGTTTATGTGTATATATATACACACACAGTATGTATGTATGTATGGTCGCTGCATTTGTGGGTTCTACTTTTTAGAAACTCTATGGTTAACAGGCTGTTTTAGCTAGGCTTTAGCTCCGTGGAGATCTGAAGCTCAAACGGCAAAAAGAACGCATTCATAAACCCGCCAGAACGAACACACTCACTTTATTTTTTCTTTGAACGATCGATCAATGAGCGCGTTCGGGCACAACGCTGAATAAGGGTACTGCACACAGCTATAGGCAGCAATAAGAATAATATTAAGAATAACATTAAAGTTGTCGAACAGTCAACTAATCAATTAATTTGTGTAGGAATGAATGCCTTGTAAGTCGAACTGTGAGGAAAAGAAGCACCAATGCGCCTGTTTCAGGAAGTAGAAGATTTCCACAACAGAGGAGAGATTCAGAAAATTTAGAATTTTTTCCTGATATTTGTCACACAAATATTTGATATTTGGACATCTGCCGTCTGATTGGCTAACAACAATATGATTCTACCACTGACTCTGTCTGCTTTGCAACACTGAAGTTTGATCTCCACAAATAACACAAACCTGGAGGAGCTTCTGCTGTGTGGTGAAGTTACTAATGCTAAAAATTAGCTTCTACTAGTCAAGATGTTCTCTGCTGTTTTCTGGACGCTTAAACAACAACAACTTTCCCCGTCGTGAGTCAAGATGGGTGAGGACATGAATGATACGTGACAGTGTGATGTAGATCTGTCAGGATTTTCAAATCCTACAGTTTCAATGTCTATTTTTTATTAAAAGCTAATGCAGGAGATAGGTGTAGAAAAATATGTTCATGTTCAGCCTGCCCAAAAAACTCAAAATGACCAATTATAATCAGAAACAATAAAAATGTATTATTATTATTATTATTATTATTATTATTATTATGAAGTAGAAGAAGAAGAAGTAGTAGAAGAAGTAGAAGAAGAAGAAGAAGGAGGAGGAGGAGAAGAAGAAAAAGAATTTTCCACAATAAAGGAAGAGAATCCTCCATCTCTGTTGGTCATGATAAATAGCCAATAGTGAGAAAAATAATTTTTGTCTCATTTGGAAAAGAAAAGTTGGACTAACAGTGTACAGCACTTGGAAAGGAGAGCTGTGTGATGAACCGAGGATCAGTCATGCAAGAGAAAAGAGACTATCTGGACTCCTTTCAGACAGTAATGTGATCAAGACTTCTCGTGCTTGCATACATTTCAGCTCCCTCAACCAAAAGGTTTCAATAGTTTTAATCACCATTTGGGAATTCTAAGCTTAGATATCATTGTAGAACATTACACACTTGTTAGGGCTGGTAAAGTCAAAGAAACCAGTGACCCTCCACTTCTTTAAGAACTTTAACGTAACAAGAAAAGTCCAGAAGTCTTTCTTTAACTTTTTTAACTCTTTGAATTCTCATGTCCAGGATCAGTCACAGCCTCCACCAAAATGTGTGCAAGAGACTGAGTACAGCAGGTAAATTAGACAACATTTGGTAAATAATACAACAAGACGTAAAAAGACAGTGATATAATGCAGTACCAAAGGCACTGTGCGAGTGAATCAGATATTCTTTTGTCACTTACTAGAGCAATGCCGAAACTCGAAGCGGACATGCGATCCTCGAAACATGTCAACCGGGATGGGCAGTTTGATCTGCTCGGCCCAACGGGGACTGTTGTTGTGGTACAGCACCAGAGAGTGGTAATCATCCCCACCTGGCTCTCCTGAACCTGCAGCCATGTAGCTCTGAGACACATAAAGAGACACAAAAGGATAAATAAAAATAGTGGGAGTTAATTTAAAGGAACATCAGGAAATTGAGGAAATACAAGGCAGCAAACAGGAACAAAGTGATGGGGACGTGGTCTATGTGTGTGTTTATGTGTGTTAGGAGGCTGCGTGCCATGCTGTGGCAGCAGCAGTGGCAGCAGGGCTATATTTGACTTCCTTTTTTTCCTCCAAGGCCAAAGCAGAGGAGGAAACCACAGAGGCAAAATGTCACATTGCTGAACCAGAAATGGGAAACACATCTGAGGAACTCTCAACTGGGTAAACCATCTTGGCATAAAGAGCTGGTCTACAAAGGAGTCACCCACTGATGAAGAAACGGGTCAACTTAAAATAACTATTGAAATGAAATAAAATAAAACCAGCTCTCAGTCTAATTCAGCACATTTAACAACTGCTAATGGAGGGTGATAATGATTTTCCGTGTGTTTGTGTATGTGTGTTTGGGTTCACTGACAAAATATTTCATGAACCACTTGTAACCTTTAAATGAAATTCTTGAAAAGTGATAATTGGACGAGCCTTTACAACCAGTTCACTTTTGGAGTCAAACCAAGTCAAGATGGCGTCTAAAGCTGACAACTATTAATAAACAAAGAATCGGGTGCATTAAAAAGCATTGAGTTAATTCTTGCTGAGCTGCCTGTTGAGTCAACTCAAGCAAGCAACGGTTCAAGTGAGGTGTTCATTTAAAAAATGTGTCAACTCTGTGTTTCAAGCTGATTTTCTCAATAACGAGGGGTGCAATGGTAACCAGCCTGTATTTGTACACTGCTTTATCAAGTCCAGGTATTCCAAAGTGCTTCACACTCCAATCAGTCATTCACCCATTCACACGCTGGTGATGAGCTACATTGTAGCCACAGCTGCCCTGGACTTCAACTTTGGTAGGGTTACGTTATGTAAACCCCGGTTCTTTGATAACAGAGTGAGGTGTTTCACTATGAGAATCGCCCTGGCGTGACCAACTACCGAAGCTCCAGTGACATCACATCTGTCCCTGACAGACCGGTTGTGCCGTGCCCAGGCTCCGCCCACCCAGTATATCCACGGCCAACCAACCAGTCCTACTCATTCTTAAATTTCTTACTGTTAATGCAAGAAGGGAATTGTTAGTGAAACACCTCACTCTGTTATCAAAAAACCAGGGTTTACATAACGTAAACCCTACGTTCTTTTTCTAACTTTGTTCGGTTTTTCACTATGAGAGATATGGCCCTACTCCCGGATTGCATGTCTATCCTGAAGCGAGCTGCAGCAAAATCCAGCTTAACCACTAGGCAGACACTGTGCATCCTGCCTCCAGCACTGAATGCGCCAGTGAAGGTTGAGACACATCCAGCCTGTAAAACCGCACAAAAGTTGGCGGCATGGCCCAGCGAGCTGCTGCACAAATATCCTGGACTGACACACCACGAAACATGGCCCAAGATGTGGCCATGGTCCTTGAAGAACGAGCACTCACTCACACAGGGGGTTTAGCACCCTTACACCTATACGAAAGGCGTATTGCTTCTACAATCCAGTGTGCCAGTCTCTGGCGAGACACAGGCTTGCCTTTATGGGCTGTGGTAAAAGTAAAATGTTGTCAGGAGCTGCACCACACATTTATTTCCTTGGCTAGTGAGTGCAGCTGTAGGGAGCATGTCCTGCCCTGACGGTTGAAATAAGCTACCACTGTGGTGTTGTCTGTCTTCTCTAAGACACAACGGTCCCTTAAGTAGGGCAGGAAGTGCTTTAAAGCTAGAAGCACTGCTAGGAGTTCCAGCACATTTATGTGAACCTGTTTCAAACTGCGTGACCAAACGCCATTCACTGCTCCCCCATCAAGGTGGCCCCCCAACCTGTAAGGGACGCGTCCGTCATCATGGTAACTCTGGACAACCCTGCCTCTAGCGGAACTCCATTTGTGAGAACTCTTCAGTCTCCCCAAGGCTGGAGAGACGACATACACGGGGGAATTACTTTCACTCTGCAGTGGAGATGACGGTGGGAGCACAGTCTTAACGACCTCACCCACCGCTGGACATCTCTCATCATAAGAAGCCCCAGTCGCAACACAGAAATCATTGACACCACGAGGCCGAGAAGGCACAGGCAAAGTCCATATGAGGCATGGTTTCCTAACTGAAAACGTGCGACACACTGCGTGAAGGATGCGATCCTCTCTTCTGACAGCAAGACGCGATAAGAGAGAAAGTTTATCTGAAGACCCAGATATTCTGTGTATTGTCTGGGGAATAAACTGCTTTTTGTCCAGTTTATTTTGAACCCCAGGTCGGTCAGATGGTTCAACACCACCAGCGCATCGCTGGTTGCTTGCTCCCAGGAGGGAGCGCAAATCAGATAATCGTCTATGTACGGGAAAATTCTAATCCCGCGACTCCTCAGTGAGGACAGCGCCGCCTCCACACACTTGGTGAACACCCTCGGTGCTAATGACAGCCAAACGGGATGGTTTGAAATTCGTAGGCGAGAAATGTCCTGTGTGGAGGATAAATAGAGATGTGAAAATAGGCATCTATGAGATCGATCGTGACAAACCAATCTCCTGGGCGGACGGAACGGCAGTGTTTTGTGAGTCAACATTCTGAAAGTGTACTTGCGTAAGTGTTTCTTTAACCCACACAGGTCGAGTAAGGAAGGGAGAGATTTCCCGTCCTTTTATGGAATAAGGAAATAGCGCCAATAAAATCCCTGGTGGGCCTCGTCACTCGGCACTATCCTGATCGTTTTTTTTGTTCCAACAGTGAAGCGATTTCTTCTTCCAGGATATGCGCCGAATCCTCTTTTGTCACTGACATTATTATCCTGTTGAAATGGGGCTGTTTTGAGGCAAACTGAAGCCTGTAACCCCGACGAAGTGTCACCAGAACCCAAAAGGGAGCTGCGCATGTGCGCCACCTCTCGGCCCGAGCAAAAAGCAAGCCGCTGTTGGGTGACGTCAGCTCCGTCACCCGAGCAGCCTTAACTCGTCCCGTGGGAAGAGCGAGAGGGCCCTCTGCTGGGCACAGAGGGACCTGATGGGGCTTGTTTATTCTTAGAGGGGAGCTTCCTGCCCTTGGCTGAATGCCTGGCTGCAGCAAAGCTATCTTTATTTTTAAACGATCCCTATGAACATATTTGCACACATTTGGGAACAAAGTGCTTTGTGACTTTGACTGTGTGCTCATGTGAAAACTGAAAAGTTTTTGGTGACACTGGGTTTTCTGCTCCACACACTCATCTCTGAACTGAAGAGGGAGGAGCAAACAAAACTCCTGCTGGACTGGGAACCACAGGAGTGTTTGAACCCTGAATACAGAGGTCTGTGTTTTTCTCTGAAAACCTCCTCTTTTTTGGAGAGGAGAAGCAAGGGCAGCTAGGATGTCTTCTTCCTCTTGCCGTCGCTGGGGTGAGATGAGCAGTTCCTGCCGACGACCAATTTCCTCCAGGATTTCTCCTTGATAAGCTGACAAGAGAGTAACTGCATTGAGGGAACATGGCGATTGGCCAGCATATTTGTACATCCTCTGAAAAATGGATGCTGTTTTAGATGAGAGAGCAATGCTAGATGATGCTGGCACGGATCTGCGGTTGGGGGTGAAGGTGGTACGCCACTAAAGGCTCCACCGCTGGGGGTTCAGCCAGCCCAAATTCTCTCATCCCATGCACCTCCAGTTTAGAGCATCCCTTGGTGGGGAGTTTGCTCTTAAATGGGCTAGACTAGTAACGGCTCATTTCTCTCATGCATGCTGGGACAGCCGGCAAGAGCTGCTTGGATGGAGAGGAGGATAGTGGGAGCCTCTTACCATTGAACAGGTCTCGTTCCGTCCTTTCTGCCCCTTGGGCTGCTGGCCACTGAATGTTGAGCTTCGCCGCTGCTCATTTGCAAACCTTGTACAGATCGGCATCCCCCTGTGATACCACCCCAGTGCCGCTAGGCGGCCTAGAGAGTTGAGTTGGGAAGGTGGAATCCTCTTCCTGCTCTTCCATGTCCAAGTCAAGGAGGTCCGAGTTCGCATCACCTTCAGCTTCCTCATCACCCGCATCAAGCAGCCCGCTGTCAACCAGCCCCTTGAACAGAGGTGGTAGCAGGGGCTCCTCTTCCATCATATCCACCCAGCTTGTGGAGGCTCACGGCTGATGGTTGTCACCTGCACCTACAGGCATGGCCGAGCTGAGGCCTGGGTCCCGGCTGTTAGCCACTGCCACTTTAAGCCTCCTTTCTCTTATTTTCTCAGGCATGGAGGGGTTGTGAGGGCATGTCTGTGGGTTAGCCAGCAATGCCTGGGCATGAGCAGCACCCATACACGCTATGCACATAGGATGAAGGTCCCTGCCTGAAATAGAAGCCCTACATGACGCCGGGCACAGGCGGGATGCAGCCTCTTTAGCCTTCGGTTCCGACCCTTCGGTGGGGATAGGTGTGGAAGCCATAACTGAAAATCTGACTTGCCGTGATACGTTAGCCTGAAAGAGCCAGCTAGTTAGGAGAGGTAAGTCTGCAGCCAAAGCTCGATTTTATATGTAGGGCAACTCGTCGTGACACGTTAGCTGCACCAAAATAACTCGTTAGCAAGTAAATGCTAAAGAAGCAAAGGACAAGCTCGCCTCAATGCGTTAACTTGAGCTACACTCGCTAGTACTACTTCATCAATGACAGCAGGGTAGCCGTGGGAGCAGTTCGCCGTGACGCAGTGACAGTTCCCAGCGAAGTGTACCAAGTGACTTAGAAGCACTCACTCAGCACAAATCCAGACAGCAATGGGTCTGCGTTCGGCAACGTATCCTCATGGTATGCCTGGGAACAGTTAAGCAGCTAGCCAAGATAGCCTGAAAATCGCTAAGGGAGCAAATTGTAGTTTCTCACGAGAAGAAAGCGAGAATGAGTAAGAGCGGGTTGGTTGGCCATGGCTATACTGGGTGGGCGGAGCCTGGGCACAGCACAACCGGTCTGTCAGGGACAGACGTGATGTCACTGGAGCTTCGGTAGTTGGTCACACCGGGGCAATTCCCATAGAACGAAGTTAGAAAAAGAACCAAAGTATTGCCCTAAAAAGACTCACTTTGTTTTGTTTTTTTTTAATGCATGTAATCGTGTTAGTCTGGCTGAAGGCGAACTGGTTCTAATCGTGCTGAAGCACCCAGATAATGTGGAGGCAATCCGAAGTCCTTCCGTATGTAAACTGGTCAGCTGAACTTATGTGATTAGACGCTCGCGTTCCGGAAGTGACAAGATTGCAGAAGCGGTCTTCTGATATTATTAGTGCCGCAAAGTAACACGCGTAACACCATCAAACAGGACCGTGCGTACCAAATAAGCTGTGTTGCAGCTTTATTGTTGTACATTCCTTCAGCCTTTGGGCATATCCTGTTTCAGTTCCGTTTGCTTCGCTACTGCCAGCGTTTTTTTTTACTATTTGTGTTGCAATAAGCACCAGAAAAATGTTGACATGAAAGACCACATGTCGCCACCTACTGTACCGGAGTGGAACAAACTTTATTTGAGAGGTTGTTTTTGTGAGGATCCAGATAACTTTGTGCAACTTTCTGAGTCTCGTAATGACGAGCCTGCACAAACTAGTAGATTAGAGTTGAGATGAAAAAGGCCTATTTGTATTTAGGACCCTAACCCTTTCCCCTAAGAAATACACATTTGGCTAAATCCTAAAATTTCGGGATTAGAGCTGACTCTGTTAGCAAAATGTCTTGTGCACCACTTGATGGCTGTCAATAAAACTATCAAAAAGTAAGAACTAGATGTACTTTTACAACTGAATACCTTTGGAAGTCAATCCAAGTCAAGATGGCGGCCACACATAATTTACCAAAGACTACATAGCTACAACTCAGTTTTACAGATCATCAACTAAAATTAGATCAAGCATAACACAATTTTGTCTTTAGGGTTAATGCAATAACTTGTCAATTTGAGATGATCTAAGTTCAAATCTCTGGCATGAAAAGAGGAAGATGATATTCAATCTTGGCCTTTAATTACCTTGAGGACTTGTCCATCAACGTCCAGCACATAGACTGTGATCTCTACGTTCCGGGCAACGCTCTTCCCACCCTTCTCAAACTCTCCTCTCTCTAGTGTGACGTAAAGGTCATTCCTCATCTCTCCTGCAGGAACAGCACAGATAAAGAAGCCAGAAGACATCGATTATGCATACAATCAAGCATTATTAATGAACAATCAGCAGATTTTTTTGTGCAGCGCCTCACAGTAGGGATTCAGTCATAGCGGTACTGGTATTTCATTATATATCCCATGCAGCGATGATACACGGCTCAGGGGGATGACATTTGAGCTCATTAAAAATCGGATTCAAAGGGATTTATCAGAACAGACATGTCATTTTTTTATTACAGGAGAAAAACATCATAGTGGTGACATTTACACATAAAACTGCTTCTGAGACTGTTATTCAAAAGGTTCTCACAAGTAACCCACAAATGAACATTTTTACTTAGTTACTTAAGACACTTAAATTGGTCATTTAAAAAAATTATAATAACATACATATAACGGGATTATTCTTTCAGTAATATTTAATTTTTGTGTACTATTCTTCTACAGACTTTCAATTTTCTAAAATAGTGGCCCTTTATTAGCTTCTTCACCAATATCAAGAGGTCTTTAAACATCTAACGAGCCAAAAATGTACAGAAACCCTATGAACGGTTGCGCTTTGATCGGTGCTTTAAAAAAATTATTAAAAGCTGTAAAAATGCAACCCAAAAAAGCTGACACTTCCTTATATTTCTATAAATGCATCTGATCATTGGATGACTATATCAGGTATGCATTTATTTTCCCTCTGTAGATTAAAATAGTGCATAGCATGCTGGGCAACATACAGGAAAGGGCTGTTTCCTCTGCAGCCAGGTTTAGACACATTATACTTATAAAACCTCAGTCTGTGAGTCATATCCCTGCCACAAGGGTCACCAATGATTTTCTGTTCTTAACTGAAACCATGGCAACATGAGGCATTTTATACTCTAATTTCCCTAATTTTCCCTCTGGGATTAATAAAGTATCTTTGAATTGAATTGACACACACACACACACACATATATATATATATAGATATATATTATATATCTATATATATATATATATATATATATATATATATATATATATATAGAGAGAGAGAGAGAGAGAGAGAGAGAGAGAGAGAGAGAGATAAAGGCCAGAGAGGAATTTGAGTAAAAAAGACCACTTAAAATAATGACTTCAGCTTAAGTGAAAGTTAATGAGGAAATATACACAGTGAGTGGGATACAAATCTAGAAAAAGAGCATGAGAAAAAGAAGCAGAGAGCCTTCCCTGTGCCCAAGGGGAGATTTTCACAAGCAGAGCGAGTGAGATCACTCAGCTTTAAGGGGTTTGCAGCCAGACAAAGACAATGGAAGAGACAGTGAATGTAAATCTGTGTTAGTGAGGCCCTGGGGTGGCACTGGCTGTGGTTCCTTACTCGGCTGACCAGACATGACTCCAGTTACATCTGAAGGATCAGCTGTTCTGAGAAACAAAACCAAACCCTACATTCTGCATTTGTAAAACAAAAGATGTACCTGTTCAGTGATTCTGTTTCATCTCGCCGTCAAGTGGTAGTGCATTTGTTACCAAGGCAACAAGACCCCATCTAGCTAAGCCTTAGGGTCTCTGTGGGGCTTTGTGTCATTTAGCGAGGCAGCTATGTTCAAGACACAATTGGAGGATTCCATATACTGGAGGGTTTTCCTAGGGACAGCAGTACCTCAGGAGGTAGAGTGTGCGGTCTAGTAATCAAAAGGTTGCAGGTTTGTTCCTGGATCTGACCAAAGAATGCTGCTGTTGTGTCCCAGGGCAAGACTCGCCTGCTGGTGGTGGTCAGAGGGAACGGTGGCGCCTGTGTTCGGCAGGCCTCGCCTCGAAGCTATGGCTACATCAAAGCTCATTCCCACCAGTGTGTGAATGGATGGATGACTGATTGTGTAGTGAAGCACCATTTAGGCCATTTACCATTTAGAGTTAAAATATTGCTTGTGGGCGTGTCAACATGGACGTAAATTTTTTTGGGGGGGACATGTCCCCCCCACTTTTTCCAAAGTCAAGTTTGGACCCCTGCACTTTTTACCATCCAAAAACAATATTACTTTATATTAAATTGACACTGGTTGAGCTCTAGGACCAAGCGAAAAACAACCGTTTGTGTTGAAGCCTGTTTCCCATTAGAGCATACTGTAAAGACCCCCCCCCCCCCCACCCCCCCAAAAAAGCAAAAATGACGTCCATGCGTGTCAATAAGGTGCTTTTACAGGGCAGAGGTCAAGTAATGCACCTGGAAAATTGAAGTTTAATGCCTAAAAGCTAATGTTGTCTTACCGGCTGCTCAAACCTATTAGGACATAATGGAACTGAAAATCAATATTCTCACATGAAGCAGGAACAGAAATAAAAAGACAAGCTGACATGTTTTATTTATCACTATTTAAAGGTGCATGATGTAGGAATGACACAATGTGGTCAAAGTTGGGTACTGCAGTCTCTCTCACTCTGGTGAGTCATTTCTGGATGACGAGAAAAGACGAGTCATAAACATCTTAGGTGTGTTCTTGCTGTGTCTTTCTAATTCCATGCTTTCGTTCTTTTTAAACACAGAAACAGTTTTGTTTACCTGTTTTGTAGCTACAGTTTTGCCGACGGCTGCCGGCTTCTTCAGGCTGACGCTGATGGTCGGCGAAACTGTAGCTACAAAACAGGTAAACAAAACTGTTTCTGTGTTTAAAAAGAACGAAAGCATGGAGTCATAAACAGTAAGTTGACATAAATATAATATTGAGTTTTGGTCATTTTAAAAGGTAGCTCAAGATTCTTTCAGAGCAAACTATTTGCTTTTAGTTGACTGTTTGCATTGTTAGCTCAGTGTTACCCTCTAGCCCTCTTTACCCAATATTAGAGTAAAACAAACGGATGCCAACCCCCCAAGCTGGCTGAGAAGGAAATCTGTTTCAATGTAATCTTCCTGGCAACATGACTGAGATTTTAGTCTGTTTCATTATTATTTCAATGTAAAATTCTTACTTATTGTACCTTTATATTCAACCAAATCAGCCTCTTTGCAGATGGCAGTATTTTCTATTTTGTCAAAAGAAATTATGAACGTAGCATTAAATATGTTTGTATTTGCTCTATAATTGCCTTGTGTAACGTACCAAAGGCCAAGTATTTACATCAAAAATGACCAGAAAACAACTTTTAATTTGTAGATCCAAATTTCGTCTCACACATCCAGGGACGCATTACATCAGTCTGGCTTTCAAACAAGAAAAGAAAGGATCTACTACCTTGTAACCAACCTTGTAACCAAACGCAATGTAAATTTTTAATATACAATTTAATTAGCAAATATGGATAAAAGCTATTTTCAATCAGAATCACTAGACTTTTTTTAAGTGATAGCCCCTGAAGTAAACAATTTTATTTCTAAAAACTGAGGTATATAGTTTTGTACATTAACTTTTCATTAGTTAACGCAGAAATGATTAGTGGAATAACTGGGTGATACCTGGCATGATGATGTCAGAAAAGCCCAGTTTTTTTGTGATACACACACCCCGCGTGAAGAGGCCCATGTACTCCCGCCTTAGTTGCTCGATGTCCCCGTGGAGGAGCTGGAGAGCCACAGCCAAGCCTAAAATATGAGATAATGAGAACATTCAACTTCTAAAATAACATTATTACAAGGGCAAAGCACTGCTTTTACCAATCTATTCAATAAAAAGCTCAAAATACATAATAACTACTGTCAAAACAATAAACGGTCATGTACTGGTGAAGAAACTCAAAAGAGCACGTTGCAAGTTTTATTACAACATCATGGGTTTGTCAACCAGACGACTGCACCTAAGTCTGCCAAGTGCAATATTTATGGTATGGAAAGCAAACAGACACCCATATTTAAACATGAGAAGTACAGTCAGTGAGTCATTCTGAGCTTTTTATTGGGAATAGTTTTAACAAGAAGGCAACCCTTACAAATCAAATGTTAGTGGATAAGTCAGGCACACAGCTGGTGTTTGAAGCTTGAAATGCATCTTCCTGATAACTGTTGGTGATCGCTTGTCCTTGTTCACGGAAAGGCAAAGTGAGCAGAAGAGTCAGTGAGATGATAAAGGTTAATGTAATAGTTGGGCGTTTTTGAGGTAACGTTTCCTAAGTTTGAGGGGTTTCAATTACCAAGTCAGTAATTTGCTTGAAGATCTGATAGGACTCTGTTACACTGGATTTAAAAAAAAACTATTTTTTTACCACAAAACCTAATCATGGGGAACCAATTTCAGAGTCTTTTAAAGACATCCTTCACCAAGGACATGGCAATAAAAGACAAGACTGTAGAATCTCAAGATTATTGGAAAAACAGCACAAAGCTAGCCTGTGCTAAGTGGATAAATTGCATGTAGTTATATGGTTTAGTTTGGCTTTCTTTGTGGCAACACTACAAAGTGAGAGAAACATCATGTGAGAGAAACAAGAAACCAACAAGGACAGTTCTTCAAATGTCAATGCAGGCTGGCTCAATTTTAGCAGGTCCTTATTTAACCATTTCTGCATGTGTGTGTTTTTTATCCCTTCAGTTAATTGTACAGGTGAAAAATCTTAAGGTAATTACTGACATTTGCATCAGCTGCTGTTTTTCACTCTTGCCTTGCTAAATTAAGTTCTTACAGTAAATAGTTAAATATCTGTAATTAAATGCAGACCTCTAAATCTCAAGTTTGGCTTACAAAACCTTCAAGGATGTATTCTAATTTCCTTTCAATGACTGCAGGAGATACCTTGCCTAAACAGAAACAAGTAGTTGTTATAAACAAATTAACCACAGACAGAAGTAGACCAAAGTGTCCACCTTCTTCTCTTGAGCCACAACATCCTGTTTACAGGCATGTTGTATTTAGTAACCATAGTGTGCACTCATATAACAGGGCCTCACACAAATTCGTACTTTAAAATCAGAACAAAAAAGAGAGTATGATAAAGGACTATTTGAATAAGAAATATGTTAATAGTTACATAAGGTGTTTTTTGTCAAGGTCAAGGTTCCATTTCTGTCTCCCCCCGACAGGTGGTGTTCCCACCGTAGGGTGCGAAGTCTCAGGTGATGTGTCACTGCAACCACCGACTCCCCCTAGGGTAGGTGGTTTTCCCACCACAGGGTGAAGTGGTCCAGCTGCAGAGATGACGCAGACACTGTGGATGTCACTGACCTCGGAGGTACTGGATCGACTGGTCAGTCCGGCGGCAGCGTTGTAGTTAACAGCACCTAAAGAGGGAATGAGGTCCTCAAGAGGTACCATGGCTGAGTCAGCCGAGTTCGGAGTGTCCAATCACCAAATGAAATGAGAACCTTAAAGCGTCGGAGAAGGTCCTCCCCCAAAAGGAAAGGAAAAGCTTCAACGTCAGCTACAAACACTGGATGGCTCACGGACATGTCTCCCACTGAGAAGTTTAGGAACACCACATTCGACAAGGTCATTTGGCCTGAAGAGTAAGGATGGATGTTAACGGCGCAGGGCGTGAGTTGTAAGACGTGACCCTGTGCAGCTGCAGCCAAGCGGACATGCTCCCAGAGAGAACTGGACATGATAGTGAAATCTGAACCGGAGTCCAAGATGCCCTCACAGTTGTGATGTCCAGCAATGGTCAGTATTTAGGTACAGTTTGACCATTCAACATCTGGTCTAAAAGGAGACACAAGACTGCATGTTTCCCCTTTAAATTGGCCTGCCTTCATCCCATCAGCTGGAGCTCAGAGCCTGAAGCTCTGAACACAGATAACGAAATGTCAGCAATAATGTTCTCTCCTCAAGGTCCAATCTTTCAGGATTCTTCATGCCTCCATATAAGGAACACTCGCAGCCCAGATGTCCTAAATCAGATATGAACTTCTACAACTTATAAGCTGGATAATCATTAAATAAATGTTTGTTTATTGCTACTTATTATGATTATAATATAATGAAATGTTTCATTAATCTGTGCACAATGATTGAAGTTTGAAATGAATGTTATGTTATGATTACAGTGATTGAAATATGTTTCAGCATGTTAATATGACAAGGTCATAACCATTTGCACTCACACAAGGACAAAGTAAAGTTAAGTTAAACTCATGACACATAGATAGTTCTTTACCCAGATTAGAGCATCCAGTATCAAAGAAGGTGTGTGTTTCTGAGATTCTTGGTAATATTCCTCAAACTTGTCAACCTCTGGTTGGCTACACAAATCATAACATGAGAACATTAAAACCAGATTACTCTGGTGATTCCTCAGTTCTAGAGAAAGCTTCAGACCGGCCATCTGAAGCAAAGCCCTCTTTAACCATCAAAGCTTTTGACACGTCGTCAAAACCTTTTTGCACTGCGAAGCTGATAAAGCAAACAGTTCCTGCAGAACAAGCTGATATTGTTTAGACTCCTTCAGAGTCCCAGACACGCGGTTACATCCATTTGGCGTGAACCGAGACATCTCTGGACTGGAGAAGTCGGTGCATTGGTCAATCTACTGGACCTTTGGTGCCAGAGGTCATCCGACCTCTCTGACCTTCGGATCCACTAAGAGGGTCTACAGAACGGCTGAAGTAGACACACACACATAGCGTCTGATGTGCTTTTGATAATAATCAACTTCATAGCTTAGCGCAACCCAAATTCTGTTGCATCCCGAACTCAGCTCTCCTAGATACGGAAGTTCTGACTAACATTGCATTCACACATAGGTTTCATACATCACATTTAGTTCCATCCATCACAGTAAATGCTTTGTTAACTTGTCATGTTTTAATTGTTGGTAAAACGAAGTGTGTACAATCCCCTAATAAATAAAGAATCTTAGAATCTTCTGATTAAACACCATAAAGACCAAGCAGGGTTGCAATTCTATATTTAGATAGACTATCACAGCTTATTGGTCATAAGTAGAGGTAATATATGTATATTGAGCTCTTAAAGCACTCAATTTACCAAACCCTACACAGTCAAGCGCCCTCTCCAGGGTCACCGGAATGCGAGGTTTCTCATTAGGACCCTCACGGACAATATTGCAGAGGAACCTTAGTGGAAGTCTGACTGGTGAGCTAGACTCGCCGGGTTTGGTGGCAGGTGCTTTGGATGCTAGAGGACCAGCGCTGATGGAAGCGACCACACCAGACTTCGCCGAGGTCACAGGTGTCATCGGATGTGCCGTTGTGGCAGGCTTCGACTCTGCAGGACCTGCTTTTACGACCAAGTCGCATGCTGGTTCAGGAGGTGGAGGAGGGTCTGCCCAAGAGATGGACAGAATCGACTTGCATGCCAATGGATCTTTCAACAGGGCCCAAAGTGCAGAACTCAGTGCGGCGCGAGCCGTTCCAGGAGAATGGCTCCCAGAATCAGCTCTCGGCCTTGGGGCAGAACTGTAGTCTCTGCGACCACGAAGCGGTGAATACCGGTCAGAGGGAGATTGGCGCTCGCCTGAGCGAGACGACTATCTCCTAGAGGAGTATGATGAACCCCTCTTTTCTATAAAAGAAACACAATGTTTGTCACGACAAAGTCGTGGTGACTTAGGGTCCCCCTCACCAGGCGGTGGGGGGTTCCGAGCTCTGGCAAAACTCTGAGACCTGTTAGTAGGAGAGCCTCGCAGCTTGGAGTTGTTATAGGACTTCTGGGCCTGTGATTTAGCACCAGGTCTGCTGTTATTACCTTTACGAGTCCCTAACGTAGTCCCTTCCAGTCGCTCTCCATCTGCCTCTATTGCCAGGACCGAAGGGGTGTCCTTAGACTTAGTTGACTCTTTGAACCCTCTGAAGCTATAACTTGCCATCCTCCTGAGATCGTCCATAGATTTGACTCGAAGGTCTACCGCACCCATATAGGGGCCATACTGAGGATGCAAATTGCCAAGGAAAAGCTCTTTAAAGCCTTTTTAATCTCCCATCCCCTTCTTACATTGCAAACCAAAGTACGCGTCAAAGAGGCATAGGTAGAAAGCTTGTGGGTCTTCAAAATGACCTTGTTTGACTGCCAAAGCTAACTTTAAACCAGCTTCTTTAGCATCATAAGTATATTCTCTTCGAATTACACCTTCTAGCCGGTCGTAAACATTTGCAATCGCATCTTGCTGGCCATCAATGAACAAACCCTCTGCATCTGAGGTTAACCTTATCAGAAAGATCTTGTCCTTGAGAGTCACTCCAGGAGATCTCTGAAAATGGTGGTGAAGGTCACTAAGATTCGTGGTGCTGGACATTACACTCCCTAATGAGGCTCCAAGCTTTGGCAGTTATATGTATGTACATTGAAAAGACACACAGCCAGGCTCTAAAGGCTTTCGTAAGGCAGCAGTTTGAAATCAAACTGCGTTACTATTCTGCCTGCTAGATGTAGCTGAGAATGACAAAAACACCCTCAACCTTTGCTGTTCTCAGCCCACCCAATCTGCCTCTTCACAAACTTGGAAAAAAAAAGAACTCAAAAACAAAACAGAGTGAGCTGTCGCAGCCTCTTCTGTCACTGCCTACGCGTGCATGTGGACGTGGGAGCTGAATTATCTACCTGACTCATATGGAGCCAAATTCTTATGAAATCCCTTTTCATGGATCACCGGGTGCATGTAAATAAAGCTCCAATCATCAAGCCCTTCTACTGGCTG